GTCAGGTCTTGGCTCATTATGAATGTCTTCAAGTGTTAGTTTCTTTCCTCTTCCTCTTTTGATACGCTTACTCCAGAGCTGGCTACTGATTAATCAAAGCCTGACCACGCCCTACACTCCCCCATCCTCCATCATGCTTCAAAAGTGCTATCTGTTTCTGCCAAGTACAATAGATACTGCTTAGGTTGGATGAGTCAATGACAATAATAATAAAGATTTTTAGATATGGAAGGAGGTACAGGAATAGTCCCTTTTCTTTTCTTTAAAACCAGTTCCTGAATTGAGCATGGTAATAATGTATGTTGCCAGAAGTGGTACCTGTTTAAGGTAGTAGGTTTTATTTAGGAAAGCAGTGGGTCCTCAAAGTTTAGAAAATGTACGTGCCATTTGTAAAACTTTAAATGAAAGTTAAAAAATGGTCTGTTATACCACTTTTTTCCCCCCGAGCCCTCCCTTGTGTCTTTCCTACTTCACATCCCCTCACTGTTCCCATAGCTAATGTAAAGTAATTTAATTTATGAGCCAAAATAGGACTGTCTCATAGGTGTGTGTTTAGCATTCACTTTAATTTCTATTCATGTACAATTTGTTACTGCCCACTGTCCTGAAAGTTTATTCCACCAAAACATATATTTTAATGAAGGTCATATTTTTGGAAGACATTAATCTGTCTAAGAATAAATGAATAATTCACCTGTCATTCTGTTGTAAAACTCTCTCTCTAATTGCTTTTTTTTTTTTGGCAAATAAATTCAAAATGTCATATTTGTTCCCAAGAAGACATAAGCTGGCAATGTCTTGTACATAAGTCACCAACAAAATTCATAGAAGAATTTTAATTTCTTCAGGGATGTAAATCTAGATATGTTATTTTTACTGGAATTTGGGGTAAGAGGTGGGGAAGAAAGATGTTAAATTAAGTGGTAACCCCAAATAATTTTCTTTGGTGTTCCTTGTATATACACACTCTACTTTACTGTCATCATTCCTTGCTTTCACCCATACTGTCATAAGGCTGCACAAATAGCAAATGCTTTTTAGATGACTGATATTTTTTGAGACATTTATTTCAAATTTTATTGACCCTTTTTAGAATTATTCAGTTATGACATGGCAAGGTGTTTAACAAAGAATGAGGGAGTCATACAAATTCATCTTCCCACTGGATAATTCTGATGTCATCCACCATCTGCAAATGAACACTTTCAAACACTGGACCCAATACCTCCTCCCAATAACAAGCACCACCAACCAATAAAAATAACAACTAGAATCATTTTTTCTTATTTAGCTTTCTCTGTGAACTGTACTTCTTATACCACATTTTCTGAACCAGAAACCTAGAGGTCAGGCTGGGTTTGCCTGAGGACATGAGAAGCAGCAGCATATGTTACATCATAATTATTAGCATCTTCATCTCCTTGTTCACTTCTCTCCAAGCTTATGGCCATCCCATCAGGAATCAATCACTAATTCTCCGGGATCCTGTGCCAACCTCTTAGATTCCTCAATCTCTACCAGAGTAACTGTTATTAAAATGCAAATACGGACACATAAATCTTATTTTACCTCTCAAACCTTTCCTTTGACACCTACTGATCCCAGGACAAAATAAAAACTCATTAATTGTAGCCTGGCTAGTGTGATTCAGTGGTTGAGTATCGACCTATGAACCAGAAAGTCAGGGTTTAATTCCTGGTTTTGACACATGCCAGTTTCAGGCTGGATACCTAGTGTGGGGCATGCAGGAGGCAGCTTATCAATGATTCTCATCATTGATGTTACTATCTCTCATTCCCTCTCCCTTCCTCTCTGAAATCAATACAACTATCTTTAAAAAAGCTATCTCATTAATTTTATTGAAAATCCTTATAATTTGGCTCTTGTTTACATCACAATCTTACTTCTCGATAGTCCCTCTTTTTATTCTGTGCTCCAAAAACAAAAATTATTTGCAGTTCCCTGACCACACCATTCCACTTTCTGTTGCCTATCAATTCTCTCATCTATTTTCCACTTGTTAAAGTGCTTCCAATCCACCTTTGTCTGGGAACTCCAGCTTGGGAATCTTCCCTTTTAGGGCTGGTTAGATGACTCTGCAAGCCATCCTCATGAGGTTCTGGGTCAGAAATGTAATAAGTTCAGTGTCAGTCCTACCTGCTGTAGTTCTGTGGAGACTGATGTACTGGGTGGCTCCTTCATTTCTTCACTCAATTCCATGTATTTTCACTAAAGGTTCACCAGAGAGCTAGACTGACATTTTCTTAACGGCCTCAGATTAGGCATTAATCTAAGATTTCATTACTATAAAGGACAATAAAAGTGCCCTTTAGCCACAGAGAGAGTGTCCCCACAAGCCCCAATTAAAAGATTTCATGGGGAGGAAAAATAATCATCTGGCTTGTATAGAATTATCTGCTATATCAGAGATTCCCTCTCATATTATGTTTGGCTGTCTTTCAAATGGCGTGCTGACACAGTCCTAGAAGTTCCTCTGGATGAGGGAAAGGCCTGGCCTTGAAAGTCAGAAGTTGGAACATTTTCTCCCTTGATGCTCTGAGGGAGCATCTTTGTGGACCACAATACATCCCTGGAATTGACTTTGGCCTGGTCAGAGTTGAGACTGCTTTGAGTAGTGATCTGTGAATGAGAATAAATGTACTTTTATACCATTATATCCTGTAACTGAGTTTAAAAAAATACAAATCATGCATAGATGGGTTAGCTTTGGCTAGTTAAGGGAAATCATACACCTCTCTTCCTTCTTTTTTTTGTTTTGTTTCTAAGACTCAGAATCATGAACCACAGTTGGCAAGCAAATCTGATTTTTGTGATATTTTGTGGCATTAAGTAATTTAAAGCAACTAAATCCTACTGATGTTGTATATTACTTTTTTTGGTTTATCTTTATTGTTGAAAGTATTACAGATTTCCCCTCTTTCCCCCATTGACCCCCTCCAACAAACTCCTGCCCCCCATTCCCAGCACTATTATCTGGGTTCATGGATTATGCATATATGCATATAAATTCTTTGGTTAATATCTTCCCAGCCCCTCTCCCCTTTCCCTCTGAGATTCCTCAGTCTATTCCATGCTTTTTTTTTTTAATATAAAAAATAAAAGCGGGGGGCAGAGGCAGCAATCATTGATTCATTGTAAACTTATTTTTTCCCCATAAGATCATTCTTAGTTCATGTATATTTTTTTTCCAAATACATATTTGCTTACAGTAATACCTGTTCTTCATTTTTGTAAATTATTAGGTCATCAAATACTCCAGCCAACTTATAAAAATTTACATTGGTTCCATCCAAACTTACCTGTGTGTTCTCTCCTTTTATTTTTTTAAATCTAGCTCTACCATTGTAAATTTCTTTAATTCCAGACCATGTCTATATATATGTTCTATGGTTTATGCACTTATAAAACAAATATTTTCTGAATACATACCATATGCCAGACACTTTCCTAGAAGTTGGTTATACAGAAGTGAACAAAAAAAACAGATATCCCTGCCTTCACAGAGCATATATCCTAGTGGGTAAGTCATCCAATATAAAAGTTAAGTTAAAATATGTGTCATGTTGGATACTTATAAATCCAAGGATTAAGTACAATATTATTTAACTGTAAAGCAAGGAAATGGTAGAAGTATTAGGGTACAATTTTAGAGAGAAGGACTTAATATTTTAATAGTTGTGAAGGAGGTCGGTCTGAAATTTGCCTTTGGTTTAGGTATGTAACAGGTTTGTGAGTACTACATACAGTATAATAAAGAAGCTGTTGACTTTCTTTCAGAAAAATGCTCCTTATTTATTACTCTTGAAAGCTACTTATAGCCGAGACCGGTTTGGCTCAATGGATAGAGCGTTGGCTTGGGGACTGAAGGGTCCCGGGTTCGATTCCGGTCAAGGGCATGTACCTTGGTTGCAGGCATGTCCCCAGTGGGGGTGTGCAAGGGGCAGCTGATCGATGACTCTCTCTCATCGATGTTTCTAACTATCTCTCTCCCTTCTTCTCTGTACAAAATCAATAAAATATATTTTTTTAAAAAAAGAAAGCTACTTATAAACTTTGTCCATATTCATCTCAAGGGAACTTGCTTTAAATATTTTAAAAGGATTACTTTATCACCAATAAACTATGATTACATTATGCATTATACCTGAATGTAGTACCTCTGTGAAAAAAACTATGCAACTCTCATCTTTTCAGTATGACAGCCCACTTTTAGTTACATTTTACTGTGTTATATCCTAGCTTGTCTTAACTGCAAATTATGCAATTAAAGCACACACAAAAAGGGAAAGTAAGAATACATCAAGAAATCTAAATAGAAAATTCACATCATTTAGAATCGAGCTAAACACACACAACAAAAACTCTACAACATGGAGGGTGAAGAAAATGAAAACATTTTCAAAGGTATTTATTGAGAAATAGTAAAGATGTACATATTTTTACAAGCTTTTAATATTAATTTACATTTCTTTAAATTATGTAGGCCCCCATAATCAATACTTTACTAATACATAACAGAAACCCTTGCCTTTGACTGTGAGATCTCCATAATGCTACCATAGTAGGGAGTCAAAATGCAACTTTGGCTCATGATGCTTAAGTGTGTTTTTAAAAGAAATTCTAAATGCCATATTCACTGAGAATATAGGCTTGTCAAAAACAAATGAGCTTTAAAATAATTCATACTGGAGCATGCTATTGACACTATTTTGCATCTTAGCTCATCAGAGAATGGAGAAAAAATTTTAGAGAGTTATTATCTACTGTGCACAAACTGTATGATTCTTTTCTTTCTTTCTTTTTTTTTTTTTGCCTCTGATTTTGATTTACAAAACTTTGAGGGGTATAGTGACTTAATCTTGTATGCAGTAATATTATACCCAGACCATCTATCTTGATAGTTAAGGTATAAAACAAGATGGTTACCTTTCCTAGTCATATGCCACATTGGTACATAAAGTTAGCAAAAATTCATTTTAGTGGCAGAATATTTTTCATACTGGCTTACCATAAGGCACAATATTCTATGGATAAGTAGAATGTGGATATTGCCAAAAGGGCTGGTTTTTTGTTGGTTAGTTAATTTTTCTTTCTTTTTTTTTTTTTTCAGATCAGAAAGGATGAGGATCTTTGATTACTAAAGTGGGAAGGGAAGGCTTCTAGTCTGAGCATGCTCAAAGTCTCATGACAGGTTGTGATGCTGGCTCAGTGGACTGATCCATGGTGCCAGACAGGCTCTTCTCCTTCAACCCAGCATGTAGGTTTTATGCTGGCAGCCTCTCTGAACACACGATCAGAGAAGATGAGTGTGGGAAATAGCAGTGCAAGCAGTGAACCCTCTCTTTGTCCCGGGAAGGGTGTTTCTCTCTGCACCTGCAGGTTTAGCAGCATAAGAAGCCTTGCTTGTTTAATAGGAGAAAGAATTTAAACTTTAGATGTAATGCCACAATTTTGTCATTGAAAGAAACTGGCTATACCATTAAGATACTTTTGTTTTATTCACAGCAATAAATATTTACGGTTTTAGTGCACAAAATATAATTATTGATAATCAATGCAGTTCTTTAATTTGTCAAACTGTTATTTTCAAGCTACAGGCTAACAAAAATTAAGAATTATTATTATTATCGTCATTATTAGAAGCATTCCAACCTTGATTTGCCTGCATCTGTACTTAGGGCAGAGGTGGCCAAAAACTAAACAACTTAAAGAGTAAGTATAAGTTCTGCTTGATGAAACCACAAGCTTGTATAAAATTGGAGCTCCATTTCTTTCTGCCCAACATAAACATGGCCTTTGCATTCAGTAAAGAAATACAGATTTGTAGCCTGGAAAATAAAATCACATTTCTACAGTGAATGTTGTGATCAGCGTGCAAACCGCTGACTTTATGGGAGCCACTGGAGCCTCTGATGGTGAGCTATCCCAACCAGCATCTGGTTGACCCCAGTTCCACAGTCTGACATTTAAACACAGACCTGCAGGTGCAGACGTCATGAAAACACACCTAGATCTTGAAGTCTTAAATTTCCACAAGGAAAATCATGTCACACAAAATGACAAGAGAACCTGTACTGTGTTCCTAACATGGGCTACACACCAAGAAAAATAAAAATAAAAACACATGCAAACACAACAATGACAGGTTCTCTGTGCAATGAATGCAGTCCATTTTGCAGTAACAGTGCAGGCAGAAGCCAATGTATGTAGGTTTGTAATGGAGAGAAACTTGATTGATGTGCAAAGACAGAGAACCAGGTACTATTTCACTGCTGTAAGTTTAGTAATGCTGCCAGGATCCGGCTCACTTGCTAATTTATTTTATGATGATATTCTAGGTAACATTTTCATTGATTCACTTTTTCCCCTAGAAACCATCTGGGGCATCCACCTTCCACTACTAGAGACATTTCATTTTTTGCAATGGCATTGGGAATAAATGCACTTAGCTTTATTTTAAGCCTCGTTTACTCAATGTGAATTTTAAGCCATGTTCGTGGCATATTCTAAGAAAGTTTGTGATACTCGCTTATCATTTTACGAGAATATTTTCTTCTACACAACTTACACTTATAAAAAAGCCACAATCAAAACAGTGCAAGTCATCATGAATATGGCAAGTCATCATTAATTTTCCCCAATAAAATTATAGAAAGGGTACTCAGGACTTCAACGAACACTTCACTTTCTAAGGAAAGATCCCACAGTCTTTCCCACCTTCTGCTTATGGTTGGATGCACAAATAGTTGCCTCATATAATTACTGGAATTATTAAGAACCCAAATAAAACACACGCTTTGTTTTACTAGTATTGTTTTCTTATTGCAACGGATATTCAGTTTCTCGCAGATTCAGCTTTTATAGCTTGAATTTTAAATTTGGTCATGTTAAGAATGATCACAAAAGTTTGATTTTTCAGTATCTACAGAGATTTTTTTTTTTAACCAAAGTTACATTGTAACACACAAATGCTGTCTTATCTTTAAGGCACAACACATCAGTATGAACATTCTCTTTGCCAAACTTAAAAAAGAGACAATATTAGGTTCCCATCTTCCCCTCCCGCTCCCCTCCCCAACAAGTGAAAGAAACATTGCATCCACTTTCAAAGTCAGCTGCTAATAAAGTCACAGTAAATTATCTTCATCAATAATTTACACAAATTACAGGTCTAGATAGGATTGTCCTTATACAGTCTGAGTGCATTCCAATTCAGATTTTCTGGGCTAGGTAGGCTAAAGTCAGATTCAAACCTCAGGGCTGAGAAGATCTCCAGTTGTGAGGAATGTTGTTGAACACCACCTTGTCAGACGGAGCATGAGTCGGTGCTTTGCCAGGCTAAGAGTTCTTTGCTAAAACTGTTAATTCCAGTTAGGACTCCTTCGGTGTGTACCAGCAACCTCCACAGATTGTTTTGTTTTGTTGTGTTAAACCATTAAAGTGTTGTAAATATAAGACCATAGAGCTTCCTTTCTGTAGCACTAAAGTTCACCAATCTGAATTCTTCATTCTGGAATTTTCATTCCAAATATGATTTCATCCTTTAAGACAATTTGTATGTGTAAAGCCAGAGGCATTGAATCACACATAAAATTCAGTGTACTTGAAATATATATATAAAAAACGGATCTCCAGCTAGAGAACACAGTTACAAATACTCTAATTCCAGTGCTTGATGTAGAGCCAAGAGGTCTGAGTGACTTGATATCCTCCAAAAGGGCATGTTGTGCTGTGTGGTTAAGAGAGGGGGGGCGGGAAAAAGAAGGGGAAGGGATGGAGAGAGATCATAACTATGGTCTCAGTGAAGCAGCCATACACACAAGGATGTGTAGTCCACCCAGGTTCAAGGAAGGGAGTCTAGGAGAGGGATGATCATATTCTAAGGCTTGGTAGCATCAATATGACATTGCCAAAATAATAGAGAAATAGATCTGAACTGGATACTGATGGTAGGAAAAGTACATATAAAGGTTTTTTAGGTAGTTTACTATTTATTGTAGAAAGTATCATTATCAACAGCAGCATCTGGGAGAGCAATTTGGGCATCAAAATCCTATGTGGCTGATGGAAAGCAAGTTTTAATCATGACCTCACTCCTAAAGTTGCATCTCTCAGTTAAAAACAAAATTTAAACATGATAAACTTCCTAAGTCCAAGGTCTTTTGTCTTTCTGAGAGGAAAAGAGTGAGTCCTTTTCTATGTAAAAAATCATTCAAAGTTGATCTATATAAGATAGAAAGCAATGTGGAGATGATCAACTCTCTTACTTTTCTGGAGTAACTGGTTTAAGTACGTAGGTTTGATCAATTTATTTCACTGTGGGATTGAGAGAAAGCACTCTTGCAATCATTTTCACTGGGGGAGAAACAGGCAAAGGGACAAAAAAGGGTTCTTCTGGGGCAAAAATTCTTAGGCATTACAATGGTTTGTGGCCCTACAAAAATATACCAGTATCTGGTATCTGTGATGGCTTAAAATTTCATAATGGGGTGTTCTCAGAGAAATTTGTGTAAAATAACTCCATTGTGGATAATGAAAAAAAAAAAAAGGAACACTGTACTAGAACAATTAAGATCAAAGCATTACTTATAATTTTTGAATGATGACATCTTATAAAATATATATTTATATATGAATTTGTATAATGGAAATACAGTTGTATAAAAATGAAGAATATATTTTATTATAAAATTAATCATTAAAATAATAATCACTATTGTTACATAATTCTTTGCTGTCTAAAAGGATAGCCAGTAGTCCCATGTGGTTATTGAGCATGTGAACTGTGGCTTGTCCAGTTCAAAATATATATTGAATAGTAAAAAAGAGAATGTAAACATCTTATTAATAATTTTCATATTTGTAATGAGTTAAGACATAATATTCTATATATTGGATTAAAATATATTACTAAAATTAATTTTGTCTGTTTTTTTTACTTTAAAAAAAAAACATCTTCTAGAAAATTTAAAATTACAAATATGGTTTGTATTATTTATTTCTATGGGGGAATGCAACCACATTACTATTCCTAAACTTTGAAATTTCTTTTTCATTTTACAAAAAAAACTATATTTTTAGGTCAAATTAAACACATAAAGTCATCTAGAATTACATTTTTTCCATTCAGCTCAGATCTATTTGTAATAATAAAACAGTACTTAATATTTCTGCACATGCAATTACAGCTACATTCAAAGAAAAGCATGCATTATGGTCACTAGAGAAACCAACCACCTGTGTTTCAAAATAGAATTATAAGCCTTCACCATCACCAAAACTGTACCTACATAAACAACCATTTGGAAATAGCATTCTGACCGAGATTCTCATCCTTCTGGAGTCATCCTTTTTCTCTTGAAGTTTTAGGTATAAAGCAGAAGTCACAACAAACTGGTACCCCAAATCTACTTTTCATGCTATAAACAACTAGGGTGCAAGTTTTCATTTTCAAAGGCATAGACTGTTTCTGGTTTGGAAAAGTGAATTTTATTGCCCTGACCCAAATATATGTGAATGTCACATAGGCTAAAAGACATGGAAAATGTTCACTTGTAGTGGCTTGCAATGACTGCTAATTGTTGTGTGTTATTATGGTATCCACATGAAGATTAAAACAACCTGGACTCAGGACACAGAGACAGACTCCAGAAGATATTTCTACTTGTGTGGGACTGGAAGGATTTCAAACACTAGTCCGCAATGAAAGCTGCATTTCTGGAGGCCACATCCCTGACGCATCATACAGAATGTCCATAGGCCAGTTGCTCTCTAGGGTCACCGATGGCTAATTAAGACACAGGCCCTCTGTGGGAGGCTGAGCCTGCACAGGCTCTCTGAGTGCAAATGGCTGCCAACACGTCAGCACACCTTCTAAAGTGAGAACTCTTACTCTTTCTCCATTTTGCTTGATTTGAATTGATTACACACACAAACCATCTCTTTTCTCTTTTTAATGAAAGCTCTAAACTTTTCTAGGAAATTGCTTATGTTGATTTGGGGGGGATCAGGTGAACACCTCAGCACATGTGAGTGTTTAGTGAAGCCTTTATTGATGAAGATTTGAAATCTCCTCAGGATAAAGAGAACAGCATTCTTTCTACTGAAACAATATTAGCTGATGTGTCATTGTTTCCAAATATTAATTCATCATTTTGCTTTGTTTATAAATCGTATCACTATTGTCTTGGCTCGATGATAGTTTTTTGCTGTCATTCAGAGAAGGAAGCAGTATGTCTCTCTTGTGTTGACCAACAGCCTGGTGTCTGGGCCAATCCTGGTATCATTCCTCTTTTGATCTTAGACCAACCATTTAATGGTTTTTTATCTGCCTTGATATCTTCCTCAGAAATATGGGCCAGATGAAAAGACTTATTTAAATACCTAGGACCTAGGGGAACTTCTGAATATGTTCCAAGCCAGCTGCTTGACTCCAATCACATTGTGGTGGCTCACCAAAATAGACAACACACTTCTAGAAGATGTGAGGCATGTTGCCTCTAAGTTTCTACAACAAGTTGTTGGCACAAAAGGATCTGAATAGTACATCCCATTCCAGTAGCGCCTATTAAATTTTCTCACAACAGTTTCTCCTTCGACTATTAAATCTACCCTCAGCATCTGTCACCAGGGAGCATACTTGCTACCAGGCACACACAGGGAACATATGGCATAGAGGAGGATGGGGAAAAGGGTAAGAACTGAATCCCATGATTTTCTATGAAGTTCATTAAACGTCTTTATGTTGTGAAATTCCATGTGCTTAAAATTGGTTATTTCCCTCCATCTTTCTTATAGACCATTATATCAGTCTCTCTCTTTCTCTCTCTCAAATAAATATAACTAAATTTTCCTGCATTTCCTGTCAAATTTCACGCAAAAAAATGCTAGACTCCAAATGGTTTATTTGAATGTAAGTATTGACCTTCTCATGCTCTTACTGCTTTGCATCTATAAATGGAAATCACTTATCAAGCTGCCATTGGGCCAAACTACAGGAATGCAAACGAAAAAGCTTGCATCAGAAGTATCACACCAACATTGTTTGAGACAGGTTACCTTTTTTGCTGCCTGTTCTTCTTCTACACCATCCCCAATTACAACATATACTACTTTTCTGCCAAACCTTTGCATTATTCGTTCAAAGCAACTTTCTTTTCCTGGAAGATAAATGAGATAAAGTTCAGAGTGAAGTTACCTGGTTAGCGGCATGCTCCTCATCTCGGCCATCTCCAATCACAACATAAGTTATGTTAGTGCCAAATCTGGACACTATACGCTCAAAACAGCTTTCCTTGCCTGAAAAACAATGCACTGCTTATTCTTCCAGCCATTGCATTCATTAACCTAAAGATTCATATAAAGTGGCAAGTTAATTTCTCTTGAACATCAATCACTTAAAACTAGCTAACTAGCTTGCAGCCTCTGGGTTAATAAAATCATCAAATATATTTGAACAATTTAAGTCTTTGCTTGGGCACAGATTATCAAACAAATGTGTTCCATGCTTCAGAAAAAGCTATAGGGTCAAGCATTTGACCCAGAGAATATGTTAGTATCGTTCACTCCACCAAAAGGATATAGAACAACCTTGCAAGCAACTGTAGGTTTTAACATCTATCTTTTCATTCGATGTATCACTTTTGCCAGTTAATTTTAAATAGTATAGACAGGTAAGCTGAAAACATTATTGTGAACTATTGAAGGTTCCCCTATAAGGAAAGAGGGAATACTACGATGTGGATTTACCTTAACAGATAACTTTTTATTCAAGTGGCTGGAAGCTAGTCTGCCCAGAAGTGTACTAAGAGTGCTGTTTGGGCCACTGCACTAGTGACTCCATATCCCCTGACTGCACTATGGGAACACCACACAGGACCTCTACTTGTTCTTTTGTTTTAAAACTTTGGCATTAGTCTCTGATTTTCACTCCCGGAATGCTCATGTAGTCATGGTTATTTCTGTTCTCTTTCTTAACCTGGTAGTTCAAAAAAATACTAACTTAAAGGAAAATATAAAAATGATTTTTTTAGATTAAAAATTAGAAATAGTTTGGCCAATAAATAAATATTATCCTTACTAGAAGAAATGCGTATCCTGGCATAAAATTATTTGATTTTTCATACAGCAAAATTCTATATATTAATCCTGCTAGCACAAATACATACATTTATGCAAAAATGAATGGGGCTGAGATCAGGGCTCTGAACTGCAGTGCTTAAGACAATGTAAAATTTACTTTTTCAAAGACTGGCTCTCGTTCACTGCACTCCCAAAACAGCTGCAAGGAGGGCTCCTTTTGCCTGTGTCAATATCAAAACTCTGCAAGGCCCGGGGCGGTTATTTTTGGGAAGGGATTTTAGGATTTTGAACTTCTCTTGTCGAGGTGCCAGAGCCGAAGTTTGTTGACCTTCAGGGCACATTACCCAACCCATCTATTTCCCCAGGCGTTTCCTTGACAGGCAGAGAATACACACACTGTTTTCTTTAACTCTTTCAGGATGGCAGAAGTTGATGAAGTTTTGTTTTTCAAATGTCTTAGTCTGTGAAGGGCACTTCGAGTAAAAGAGGACTCCACAAATTGATATTAACCAAAGAAGCAAGGTTGTTATCCTTTGATTGTTACTCAACATTTTTGGAAATGTGGGTTTCTAGCCATTCAGGTGTTATGAATGTTTCAATTATGTCTTCTACTTCATGAAATTATTAGTTTTTTTCTGGAATTAAGGACTAGTTCAAGCCATCTGACACTCTCATGTCAAAATAGTATTTTTATATTAAATTTAGATTACATATGCAAGGATAAAATACTATGTGCCATGCTAAATAAAATATTAAATGCCATGGATAGAGATACAGTGTATTATTCGGAAAACATGTGCCACGATGAAATATATCTATAACAATAAAAGCGTAATATGCTAATTAGATAAGATATCCTTCCAGACGACCTTCCGAACAAAGCTAGGGCTACAAGGGAAGCCTGGGTCCCAGATGCTGCAGGGAAGCCGAGGTCCTAGATGCCAGAGGGAAGCTGGTGCCAGCAGCCAAGGGAAGGCTGGTGCTAGCAGCCAAGGCCTACTCTTGCACAGATGTCATGCATAAGGTCTCTAGTATATATATAATAAAATGAGTCAGAACTACCCAGTTGCTGGGTTCAGACAACAGGTTTTATGAAATTTGCATTTGCAAGAGGCGCTGAAGAGGACTTTGTTATTTGAATGCTATCCAAATGTGCTTGATGTTCTAACAGCAAAATTGATGACCCAGAGAATCATGCAGAGACTCGCTTTAAGAAAATCCCCCAAACCCAGAAGTGAACACATTTCATACAGACTTAGAGGTAATTTTCTTACCTATTTTAGTTGCACTGTAAATATTCTCAATGGGGAAAGCACCTCCTAAACTATAGAGTAGAACCTTCGCAAGTGCTGGGATCAGTTGCGTTGTCGTTACCAAGACATTTACACAGTTACTCCTAAGACAGGGAGGAAATACACATATTTGTTTTCTAATAATAAATAGTCTCTTTGAGTATAGATTTTAAATTATCACTGTTCTCAATTCCATAGTATAAAGCACCTGATATTCTAATCATTTATTCAACAGTTATCTATGAAATGCCTATTACATGGCAGGCACCATGGCAAATGCTAGAAATCTATCCCCAAATGGGGAAATAGAAGAAAGTGGGCAAAAAGTTGTGGATGTATAGGTGTTATTCTCCCCTTCTGGATCACAAGATAGATACAGAGACAAGTGAATAAGACACCAGCAATGTTAAATGTGTGCTGTAATAGCTGTCTTGTCAGGTCCCTGTGGAACCTCAGAGAACACCTATCCCAGCCTTTAGCCCAACCTTGGCATGGTTATGAGAGGGAGGATGGCCTAACTCTAAGTTTTAAATGTATCCAGAACAGGTGTTGGTTAGGGTGATAAGACTCTGAGTCCCAATGTGCTCAGACCCTGGGAAAGTAGAGGACATAGGCAGAAAGAAGGTAATAGGATGGGTGACAGGAGTTTTGGGATTTTGTACAAGAAATAGCATAGATGATGGATCCTGAAGAAGGAAGCCTGGAGAGGATCCTTATTTAGTACAGAAGGGGCTGAATTCCTGAAGCTCCTCTTCAGCGACAATAAAGGGCAATTGCATTAATGGCTGAAGTTTTAGTCCTCTTCAAAGGTCCTCCCTTTGAGAGTGAGAGTCTCTCATTCTGCAATTTATAAGCATTTCTTTCCTGGTAGTAGTGGGTGGGGAGAAAAAGGAAACGCCAAGAGAGTGGAGATTGTTGTGAGGCAGAGACCCAGGAAAAAGAGATGGTGGTCCTCCTTCTATGGGAAATTGAGCCATCCTACTTGGAGAGGCTCACAGCCACACCTGTGAAACCGGGAATCAGAGGGCACATAGCTATGGACCTTTCTCTGTTAGATTGTTTGTTTCATGAGTTTTTAATGCATATTGGTGAGGGCTGTAAAACATTCTCTATATTAATTTTCAGAAACCTGGCCTCAATAATAATCTTTATATAATTGTATTATATATAACACATGTAGAATCTATATAATAATGTCATAACCTTTGGTTTGTAACTATCTACGAGACCTCTTTTTAGAAATAATGAAAGCTGTTGAACTCTTCCCCAGAGACATACACATGCCACTATGTTTTATACAGAATTTCAGGGTCTCAGGAACCCTCACCCTCAGCTTTCTTGACCTTTGGTCTCTTTGTCACCAGTTACAGAGATCTCAAGGCAGCAAGTCAAATTATAAAAGCAACCTCCAATTGTTAGACAGTTCTTCCTCTCATGGAGCAAGAACCCTCTTTCTTAGAATTCCTACTAAGCAGTCCTAATTCTTTTCTTCACAGACACAGAGAAATGTAATTTGTTTTCAGTCTAACATTTCAAGTAGTTGAATTGGTATTATTGTTCCACACATGACTCTTCTTCAGACTAAACCCTGTAGTTCCTCCTTCCAACTGTTCCTTTTATGTGGTTTCCACAGCCTAAACCCTCTGGCCATTGGAAACAAGAAGCTTCAGATATGTCACAGCCTGTTGGAATGTAGTTCCCAGAATGGAGCAGAGTACCCTGTCTGGCTCCCGCAGCCTTACCCAGGGGGCCACTACCCTTCCTCTCCCCACTTAGCCTTTCTGTGATCAGTGCAGTTGCTGGTCATGGCCCATGCCTAGAAACTGGGCACGGGATCTGACACACTCCTTCACTTCCATGTTCCGAATATTGGACTCTCTTTCTACCCTGCCAAGTTTTTCCTGTATGCTGGCTCAAACAGCCCAAATATCCTCTTTCCCCCTGAATTGTTAAGTTATCCACACTTTGCTAAGCATGCGTTTATTTACTCACTCAAATGAAACTAAGAAATATGGTAATTCAAAGACTGACCTCTCACCTTTCTAGCTATGACTTCCAGATTTACATTATTTTATTCATTAGCATTTATGGCACATGCTATTAAACTAGATATAAGTCTTCTATTCAATACTATTATTGACATTAACAAGTCAGTACTTCACTGCTTAGTTTAAACAGCACTAAGGTTACAATTTTTTCAAGAGTTTTCCTTTTTTTTTTTTTTAAAAAAAACAAACAAAACCACACACATATTTTTATTGATTTCAGAGAAGAAGGGAGAGGGAGCGAGAGAGAGAAACATCAATAATGAGAGAGAATCATTGATTGACTTCTTCCTGCACATCCCACACTGGGAATTGAGCCTGCAACCTGGACATATGCCTTGACTGGAAATCGAACTGTGACTTCCTGGTTCATAGGTTGACACTCAACTATTGGGCTATGCCGGCTAAGCTTTTCTCTTTATTTTTTTTAAATGTATTGAAGTCATGCATGTTGTCTACAATAACACAGAGACTTAAAACATCCACTCTTTGTATAGATAGTGCTGTTTTATTTTTGCCATAATTTCCTATACTTTGTCACCAACAGTGATACCATTTTTAAAAATTAAAAATCCCATGATCTTATGCGGGGATAAGTCGTTATGAGGAGAGAAGGGTAAAGAGATGGGATCTCCTGGTTATTCTTAGAGGCAGCAACTCTCATCCTTTACTCCCAAACACATAAATAATGAACATCATTGGACACAGTGAATTGTTAGGTCCCTTCAAATACTAAAATAGTCTAGAAAGTAAAACATATTTATGTATGCTGTGCCAGTAATACTATACCTTTAATACAACATATATATTTAAACTGCAACAATGCCACTTACCTAGTACTAATAATTGATAAAGACTTAAGTGCATTTGTTAGCCAGGAGTCTGTCAAACCTTCAATCTCGGCCCTTAGCTGCAGCCATGCGTCTCTCTTGGCAGGGCCAAGCAGTCCTGCAACACCAAAAGCAAGGCAGGGTCAAAAGATGAATGTTATCCAGGAATACCTAGTTTGGTCTCCCTTCCATCTAGGTTAGATAATTTTTATTCCAGCCTATATTAGAAATTGAGAGAGAGACTGATTTATAGTAGCATTATTCTTCATTTCAGAATTGATTATCCATATCCATTCATTCATTCCATAAGTACTTATTGAACAACTTCTAGGTATCAGGTTCTGGGCTGAAAACTGGGATGTCACAGTGAAACAGTGGGCAATGGGTCCCAGTTCTTCCCTCCCTGAACCTAGAATCTGGCACACTGGATGCTAATCACCTGAGGAGCTTTGACCACTCCCCTGCCTGGGTCCCACTCCAAGGCTCTGATGCAAGAGGTTTGGAGGAGAGGTCAGGGTCTACCAGCCTCATGTAAGGGTTACCATACCTCAAATGCTTTGGCTGTCTGAAAATGTGTAGCTTCTTAATAACCATAGTCCTTACCACTCTGAAACAGTAACAATGGCATTACCTCATGTAGCTAATAGAATGTTTCTAATATTTGTACTAAAGCTGTCAGAAATATTTTGTTTTATGACAAGTTAAAAATTGTGTTGAAAATCCTGAATCTATGACACAGTTATAGACAATGGTTGAAACTATGTTGATGTTATGATAAGAGAAAAAGCATGCTAATTTTTTTTTTTTTGCTTAAGTCCTTCCTTTTATGGCAAAACAAGATCATGTAAATCTATTATAAAGACAAATTTCTTATTTTAATTGTATTGCAGAATACTGGGAACACATATATAGTCCTTATCCCAATAGAGAGATGCCAACATTTCACAGCAATGGGGGGATAAGGACACATATGAAATACCTTAATCAATAAATAAAGAAAAAAAATTAATATGTTGTGTCATGGCTTTATGATGGAACAATATGAAGCCACTAACTATGATATTTATAAGAAGTTGTGATGGTAGCAAAGTGTTTACAACCATGAAAAATAAAGGCAAGATTTCAAATTGTAAAGAAAAAATAAAGAGATGGACTTTAATGCCATTGTTTAAACTTTTTAAGATATATGATTATTTATTAGTAATCTTGTTAACTTTGAAATAATTTCACTAATACTCTTCAAGAAGGAAATAGTAGCATACATGGGTGATAAAAATTCAGATTTTCCAAAAGGATATTTATTTTAAAGTTAAACGTATCACCCACAATTGATTTTAAATAGAATATCTATTTACTTGATTTTACAAAGTGTCTTATATAGAGCGTTAGAATGAATTAGGAAACCTGAGTTGCCTTCCTTAAATCCCGGGCAAGTCAGTAGCCTGCAAGGGCCCATTGCTCATTTGGAAATGAAGGTCATCCATATGGAAGCCTCCTTTTGGTTCTAACATTATTGTTTAGAGTCTGTATTTTTTCTTCTTTTATAGTTACTGAGCATCTATTGAGCATCTGTTATGTATCTTAAGGCTAGCAAGTCATTGGGGATATAGATGAATGGATGTGCACTTCTACCTTTATGATGAGTATAGGTGTGTTTAATATGGATAAACATTTTATTTACTATATTGTATTCAATGACATCTATGTACAAGTATATTTGATTGTATCATCCCATTTTAATTCTCATTTATTCATCATTCTTTTTTTCCCTTCATTTTAAAAAAAAGATAAAGAAAACCCTGAGAGAAACCTTTTATATGACATAATGGCTAATCTTAGGATCTTGACCTGAAATTGATCCTAATAGTAGAGATCATCAAGGTTTACGATATCAAGAAGCACATTCAAGATCTTAGTTTTAAAGTCACAAGTTTTAAAATATATTTTAAAAAATGATCTCAGAGAGGAAGGGAGAGGGAGAAGAGACAGAAACATCAATGATGGGAGATAAAAATCATTGATTGGCTGCTTCCTGCACTCCCTCTACTGGGAACAGAGCCCACAACCTGGACATGTTCCCTGACAGGGAATTGAACCGTGAACTCCTAGTTCATAGGTCAATGCTCAACCAGGGAACCACACCAGCCAGGCTGATGTCACAGGTCTTGATATCATCTGTAATATGTGGATGAATATAAAATTATTTAGATATTATCTTCAAAATATTTGAACTTTTAAAAACTATGATAATCATAGTTCACACTATACATGGGAAAGACATAGTCAGATAACATACAATTTTAAAAGGATAAAATAGACTTCTTAAAGTTTTCAAAATGAAAAAAATCACTTGGTTATATTTATTTCTGGTAAAATACCAGCAAGGTAATGATTGCTAACAACTCCATTTCCATGACTGGTGCTCTCGACTTTAAACAGGTCTTCTCTCTGCTTCCATCAGTGTCTCAGCCTGGTTTTCATTGGTAGCATCCTAGCTGAAGAAGGTAAACTGAATGTCCTGCTGTCATTCTTGACTAAGCACCTGGGAGTAATGAATTCCCAATGTCCTTGACAGAGCTGCACATTTTATTTTGCTGTCAGATCTCCAATCCCCCTACCCACTCTAAGAAACTTAATATTTTGGCTCCATGTAGGTCAGCATGAGCTCATGATAACTTATTTCATAGTAGGCCAATCTCTAATATGGAACATGGAATTGCAATTCAAATTCTACCTCTATATAGAGTGCCTTTATAGAATTAAAAAGCCACACATACCTCCGACATTGTTCTTGTAGGTGTTGTATAATTCTTTTACTCTTCTGTATCGAAAAGCCAACTTCCTCATCCAGTCAACCCCTCCTCTTACACCTGTTGGCAAACAAAGGTTTGCACTACTTGCAGCTGCATGGAAGCCATCAGTTGCAAAACTGTAGGTACTGCAACACCCAAAATATATTAAAAAGAGATAAAAGAAATAATTACATGTGCAAAACTCCATAGCTGAATTTCTGTAGGAAATAGCATGCTAAAAGGCATGGCTTACCTTAGGTCCTGCCCATTATCATCAGAGGAGACATCATCTATATGAACTTGATCACACTCCTGTTAAAAACATTGGAAAAGTTATTTGTTTTTCCAATGATGCTTTTCACCAAATGTTTTTTCCATCTTCCCATTTTGATCAGGCCATGGCCAGAAGATGGCAGCATTTGCCCATTCTCTCCTGCTGAGAAATGGCACCATTTCTACTCTCTAAAATCTAAATCCATAAGAATGCCTTAAAAAGGGATCTGAGAACATATGACATGTGAGCAATTTGAAAAATAATATTAGTGTTAATATTATTGATAAGAAACTGTCTTTTGAGTCTTCATAATAATCACTGGTGTTTCCTTTCAGCCATTTCTCCCATTTCAGTACTTAAGTACTGAAGACAAGCTAAACCTGAAGATACACAGAATTGTTTGGTCTGAGCATCTCGGGTGGTTACTATTATTTATTATTTGTTGAGCGGATAGGGGGCTTGGTGATGAAGGTGCTCTATGAGATTTCTATGACTTTCTACGTTGTGCTGGTCCAGGAATGCCATGAAAGAATTCACGCTGGTGTTATTGTAAAAGGCCTGGCCTTTTAACACAGGAAAAAAGTGAATAAGCATGTAAGGTGACATTTTCTTTTATTCTTTTGCTGAAGTTTTAAAATCTTTAAATAACAACAATAAAAAAAATACTTAAAAAGTAAAAGGGAAATAATGAAGAATTACCACATCCAATGTGCTATACACTCAGAGGAAAATAAAGTGTAGGTACATACACCCAACTATTGGCCTGATTTAAATTGCAGTGTGCTCAGAACAAATGATAACTTTTCTGGATAAGAATTCAGTTCTTCTTTACTATTCTTTACTACTCTATCTTAAAATAATCTGCAAAGTTCCAGTGAAATAGTATCGGACCAAAGGATGACATTTGGCTAGGATACTAATCTCAGAATAAATATGCTCTAGCCTCTTCAGCTTCTTATCCCATCAAATTACTTGTCATACTCACAGATTCTTTCTGTATACATAATGCTTACCATCCAAAACTATTAAAAATTATAATCTTTGAAAATAGGATGCCATAGTAAAAAGAAAAAGCTTCCCAGCTATTATTTTTGTTTCTTTTTTAAAAAATATATATTTTATTGATTTTTTACAGAGAGGAGGAGAGAGGGATAGAGAGCTAGAAACATTGATGAGAGAGAAACATCGACCAGCTGCCTCTTGCACACTCCCTACCGGGGATGTGCCCACAACCAATGTACATGCCCTTGACTGGAATCGAACCTGGGACCTTTCAGTCCACAGACCGACGCTCTACCACTGAGCCAAACCGGTTTCGGCTATTTTTATTTCTTATAGGACCTGAAAATACCTGATAGTGAAAATTTTGCTATTTCATCTCTAGCTTTCCACATTGGCTTTAAAAAATATATGAAACCTTAATGACTAGCCCAATCAATACAATTTTAGTTACATAAGTTGAAAATACATGTGAATTAATTTTAAAGGTTTATAAGATTTACATAAATTATGGGTTTAGTAAATTTTGAATAAATCTTTACCAATAGTCACAGATAAGAGAAGGCTCAGTAAAGCTAATCTTACTGGAAAACTCCCCGAGGGGATGTTTGGGTCACTTAGATATACCCCCACTAAAGGCACAATCTGTTACAGAGTAATCACTCAATGGTTTCTTGTTGAATAAATGGCAGAAGTCTAGACATATTATCATTATTGACAGAAGTACCAGTTATTTAATTTTTTAAAATATATAACTTTATGATTTCAGAGAAGGGAGAGATATAGAAACATCAATGATGAAAGAGAATTATTGATCCACTGCCTCCTATACGTCTCCAACTGGTGTTCAAGCCTGCCACCTGGGCATGTGCCCTGACCTGGAATTAAACCCCAACCTCCTGGTCCATAGGTCATCACTCAACCATTTAGCCACCCTGGCTGGGCAATTATTTAAATTTTTGAACATAAAGTTATGGTGATATGAAATAATATTCTAGATGGTAAGAACTTTAAGAAGATAGTCATATCAAGAGTAGAGGGGATGCCAAAACTGGTTTGGCTCAGTGGACAGAGCGTCGGCCTGTGGACTGAAGGGTCCTGGATTTGAGTCTGGTCATGGCCATGTACCTTGGTGGTGGGCACATCCTCAGTAGGGGGTGTGCAAGAGGCAGCTGATCGATGATTCTCTCTCGTTGATGTTTCTAACTCTCTATCCCTCTCTCTTCCTCTCTGTAAAAAATCAATAAAATATATTTAAAAAAAAAGAGTAGAGGGGAACCACTGCACCTAGGAATTAAGATACCTAGGAATAAACTTAACTAAGGAAGTAAAAGACCTGTACTCAGAAAACTACAGGACATTGAAAAAAAGAGATAGAGAAAGATATAAACAAATGGAAGAATATACCATGTTCATGGATTGATAGAATCAACATCATTAAAATGTCCATACTACCCAAAGCATCTACAGATTTAATGCAATCTCCATTAAAATACTTCAAAGATCTAGAACAAACGCTCCAAAAATTCATCTGGAATAAAAAAAAGACACTGAATAGCCACAGCAATCCTGAGAAAAAAGAACAAAGTTGGAGCATCACAATACCAGATATCAAGCTATATTACCAAGCCACTGTTCTCAAAACTGCCTGGTACTGGCACAAGAACAGACCAATGGAACAGAACAGAGAACCCAGAAATCGACCCAAGCCATATGCTCAAATAATATTTGACAAAGGAGGCAAGGGCATACAATAGAGTCATGACAGTCTTTTCAATAAATGGTGTTGGAAAATTTGGTCAGATACATGCAAAAATTAGAACTAGATCACCACTTAAACAATACACAAAAACAAATTCAAAATGGCTAAAGGACTTAGTAAATGGAAAACAGGAAACCATAAAAATCCTACAAGAATCCATAGGCAGCAAAATAGCAGACATATGTTGTAGCAATATCTCTACAGACATAGCTCCTAGAGCAATGAAGACTAAGGATAAAATAAACAGATGGGACTATATCAAAATAAAAAGCTTCTGCACAGCAAAAGAAACAATCAACAAAACAACAAGAAAGCCCACTGCATGCATGGGAGAACATATTTGTCAATGATATTTCAGATAAAGGTTTAATCTCCAAAATTTACAGAGAACTCATACAACTTAACAAAAGGAAGATAAATGATAAATGATCCAATCAAAAAATGAGCAAAGGACCTAAATAGATACTTTGCGAAGGAGGACACAGAAAGCCAAGAGACATATGAAAAAATGCTCAAAGTCACTAATCATCCCAGAGATGCAAATCAAAACAACAATAAGATACCATCTCACATCTGTCAGAATGACTATCATCAACAAATCAACAAATGACAAGTGCTGAAGGGGATGCAGAGAAAAAGGAATCCTCTTGCACTGCTGGTGGGAATGCAGACTGGTACAACCACTGTAGAAAACAGTATGGAGTTTCCTCAAAAAGTTAAAAATGGAACTCCCCTTTGTCCCAGTAATCCCACTTCTAGAACTATATCCCAAGAAACCAAAAACACCAATCAGAAAGAATATATGCACCCCTATGTTCATAGCTGCACAATTTATAATAGCTAAGACTCGGAAACAACCTAAGTGCCCATCAGCATATTAGTGGATCAGAAAACTGTGGTACATCTACATAATGAAATACTACATCGCTATAAAAAAAGAAAAAACGTTTACCATTTGCAACAGCATGGGTGGAACTGGAAAACATTATGTTAAGCGAAATAAGCCACTCTGAGAAAGATAAAATATCACATGATCTCACTCACATGTGGGATATAACGATCAATATAATTTGATGAACAAGAATAGATCCAGAGACAAATGGCAGGGGGTGGGATAGAGAGCAACCAAAGGACTTGTATGCATGCATATTAGCATAACCAATGGACACAGACACTGAGGCGGTGGGGGCTAGCCTGGGGTGGGAATGGCTTGGGGGGAGGTCAAGCAGGGGAAAAGGGACATATGTAAAGCTTTAGACAATAAATAAAAAATAATAAAAATAAATAAAAAAGAGTGAAGGGGAGGGTGAAAGAATGAGCTAAGAACTAAGGCCATGAGAGGCATGGCAGGACAGGCACTTAGAATGGTTCTTCCTCATTTTGACTGAGTATTCTTTGCAAGGAGTACAGCCCAAATTTTAACCAAAGGGGTATTTTGCTTCCAGAAAAACCTCAGGGAAAAGTACTGCGAGCAACAGTAGTAGCTTTTTGAATTCTAAAAGAAAGAGTGGAAAGATTTAACAAATTAGCATGAAAGTTGGAAATAAATTTCTTCCCCCAGAATATGGAGGCAGCAAAGTAATTCTAGTTGACAAGGATTACTTCTTATTTAAAAGTATGAAGACTGAATTAAAACACCATTGAAATGGCATCGCGTGAAGTTGCTCATTTCCACCTAAGTTCTAAACTCTTTCATCAGGTAAATAATTTCCATGTTTCTCTTTTACAATAAACTAATAATATCCAAAAGAAGTTTGAATGACATTTTTTAAATTACCCTGGCAATTAGATGTTATTTCTATATTTAATATCCTCTTATCCTAATTTTTAGAGAAATTCCTCTGACATTTAAAGTATTAACTCACATGATTAATTTATACATTTTGTCCCAAATCTCATTTTTTTTTTTTAACTCATGAGGACATCAGTATATCAAACTTATTGGACCATGAGCTCCATATTTGAAGTTATGTTTGAGATTTTTCCAAATGGAACTTCTCTTTAAATTTATGCCTAGTTAGCTATGCTTGTTGACTTTGGACTCTTGCCTGAGAATTACACTGCAGTGAAAACAACCTGAATTTCAATCAAGTACATTTTTAGAAAAATCAAAATAATTGTTCTTCAATTAGTTTTCACTCAGGAGAACTTTGCAGGAATCATCTTGGCCAAAACATGAGATACTAAAAACAACGTAATGCTTTGGTTTTAACAAATTTTGGTATAAGAACTCAAACATTTGGGGTAATACTGGAACTAATCTTAAATTCTTTAATTTTGTTTTATAAGATGACCGCAAAGTTGTCGCTGATCTTTATCAGTTGTAATCCACAGCAGTCTCCTCTCACTTTTGTGAGCCAGAACTCCCTGGTGCCTTTTTTTCTGGAAGTTATTCTAACTGAAATAACACTGTGTTTAAACAGTACATTCTCTTCTTCGGGGGAGTAGTGTGAACATTTGCCTTCTCTGCAGTTGGGCAGGATGTCCTGAAGTGTCTATTAGGGGGATTTAAATGTGTGTCTTCTAAAGAATTATGTGAAAGCAGCTGCTACTTACTACATGTGGTACAGTATCCACTGAAGGATTTCAGTCTCAAATTAGATTTTTAGGTTAAGAAAAGAAACCTTGAGATATTAAATACACAAGGGTGGAGGGAGGGACTGTAACAGGCTAATGATAGAGTTACTCTCTTGAGGAATTCTCCTATTTGTCAGAAACAAAAATAGCTTAATATCAGTGATGAAGCCCCTAACAATCTTTGCTTAGAAGAGGCTTACAGAAATAAAAAATTGGGTGAAAGTAAAGTTGACTTTCAAAATCAGATGCGGAAGAATAGTAGAAATGTATGTAACTCCACTGAACGATCTTGAAACCCATTGTTTAGATTTTGTTAGGTTTAGTATTTATCTTAAGTCAGAAAAAGTTTTTGAGTTCCCTTGGGCACTTTGTCTGAATGTGCATGTGTACATGGGGCATGTGTGTGTGGTGTGTGTGTGTGTGTGCGTGCACACGCGCGCATGTATGAATATTCAATCAATTCATATGGAAGAGAACCAAACACTTTTTTAAAAATTAAGTACAGAATTGTTGGATACTAAGTTTTAGTGTTTGAGTCAAATACAATTTTTATCACATTCTAAACGCAATTAAAAAGCTGTAATCAAAGAAAGTCAATACCAATGTTTTCTCAGTTAATTTTTCTACCAGAGATCTTGCAGGCATTTAAAAGTATTTTATATAGTATCTATTCCAGAATAAAAATGCTTAAAGCATCATAGCTGAGCACATGCTTATGACACACAAATATTCATATAAAAAGTATTTGAAAATTTACTTTTCAAATACTTTTTGAAAAAAAGTATTTTTTCAAAAAGTATTTGAAAAAATACTTTTTCAAATACTTTCACTTTCTTTTGTGTTCTGTTAAAAGTGGATGGCAAATTTATTCCATCTGTCTTCTAATGTGCTAGTAAAATAGCTAATGGGTCATTTAGTCCATTTATTTCTAGTAAAAATAATTAATAAAATAAAATAAAAACTATGAAATTTGGATAAAACCACATAAAACTTCCTTTTTTGTGTGTTTTTTTTTTTTTTTTTACAGGTTTGAAGGACTAATAATCTTAGAATTCTCTTTATAATGAGGCCAATTTATTTCAACCAACAGAAAAACCAACCTAAGAAGTTATGAGTCTATATAAAAATTCAAGTTCCAAATAGGTCAAAATGTGTTTCCTATTATCATGTATATATAAAATCATTCTGTATACTAGACAGGGGTCAGTAGTAAGATTACTTTAAATCAGGTTTTAGAGAGGTGATTATTATTTCTTATAATAAAACTGAAACACATGCCTAGAAATACTAATCATTCCTATTGTCCATTAATAATAATAAAAAAAGAAATTGCTTTAAACAGACAATAATTTTATTATCCAGTAAAAACAGTGACTCACTGAAAAGAATACAACAAAATGCTATTACACAGGTTTCCAGTTCATATGTTTATGGGGTATTCTGAACAACACAATTTTTGCTCTTATGAGTCTCAACTATGAGTAAAACTGGATTTTAAGACCTTGTAATTAAAAAGAAAATCTCATTGAAGACACTGATTATCTTGGCTTTTATTTCTCACACACTTCTTCCCCCCCCCTTTATTGATGAAAGTATTACATATGTGTTCTTATCCCCCCACAAACCCCCACCCCTCCCCCATTCATGTCCTCACCGCCCTGGTGTCTGTGTCCATTGGTTATGCTTATATGCATGCATACAAGTCCTTTGGTTGATCTCTCCCCCTTATCCCCACCCTCCACTACCTTCCCTCTGAGGTTTGAGCATCTGATCAGTGCTTCTCTGTCTCTGTATCTGTTTTTGTTCATCAGTCTATGTTGTTCATTATAATCCACAAATGAGTGAGATCATGTGATATTTATCTTTCTCTGACTAGCTTATTTTACTGAGCATAATGCTCTCCAGTGCCATCTAAGCTGTTGCAAATAGTAGGAGTTCCTTCCTTTTTACAGCAGCATAGTTCATCAGGGTATGGGGGCAGAAGTATATGCTCTGGAGCCAGACTCCAGAGTTTCAAATCCCAGTTCTGCCACTTGGCTAGCAGTTACCATAGACATAATTTTTTATGCTTGTAACCCTACAATTCTACCTCTACAAAAATAATGTGGTAAACATTAATTTCTAGAGGTTGCTAATTATTCAATGGAAAGCCCAATAAAAAATGTTGAACACAAAGTGGGGAGGATTCAGTAATTAAAAATCTCCCTCTTCATTCATAATATAGACAAACATTTTTACTCTGCTGTGAAACCATGAGATAAAAAACTAAATTTAAATATGACATTTAAAAAAAGAAAGAGAAATCTCTTCCAGCATTGTGGTGCTTGACTGGGAAGTATTCCTGGTCCAGTGCCCAAGCTACTCAGTTATTTTAAATTTTATTGTCTGAATGCCTAATGACTCAGATCATTAACACCCAGATTATATACCTATTATAGGACCTATTCAGCTATTCTGAGGCTATTTTTTTTCTTGGGCTCTTTCATTTTGTTGCTGTTTCACTTTCTCTTCATTTGAGGTTGGAAATGGAAAGATAAATTAGAATACTAGAGAAAATAAGTATAATCAAACCAGTCAGATGTGCAATGTAAACAGCTCTAGCAGTGTTTCATCTGAAAGGGGAGGAAATGAGGAATGATAATGTTGTCTAAAATTAGGTGTCAGGTTATCTACAAAATGTAATGACCCATGTTAGCACCATGAATAGCATCTGAGACTACTGTCCGGTGATTAACCAAAAGAGTATCTTGGTTCATATCCCGAAAAAGATAATGCTAATTCCAAAAGTGCACATGGATTGTATTTGAGACACTATCAGGATGAGGAGCAGTATAGTGTAGAGAGGCACATGCAGATCTTCGGAGATATTTTTGTCCTAATTATATGCCAGTATATAGGTATAACTCATTACCTAAATTTAGCTTTGGTTTGCATTTATATATACAATTTTCCCCTTGGCAGGAACTTTACTATTCTCTTATGCTAAATTTTTATCTTTAAGTTTTCTTGAGGTTATCTGGTGTTATAGAAACCATTTAAACATTTTACTATATAACTATTTAATATACAACTATTTGGTAAACAACTATTCTTACCTCTAAATCATTAAAAAATAAATGTGTATCAGCAAGATTAAAAATCATTTCCTCCATTCGGAGTCCAAGAGTTACAGCCATGGGAGGATCCTGAGAAGAAAGTACACACACAACAAGGTAAAAATTTCAGTAACTACAGTTATTATTAAACATACTTTAAGTGCATATTGTTGTGGGGGTGGGGTGACCATAGATTTTTACTTCAGATTCAAAAGATTTCCCAACTATATGAAAAGGTACCTTTCCAAATGATTCATTTAAGACATAATAAGTATACAGATGCATCTGTGAATTTATAGGAATTTATAGGCACATAAAAAATGACCTAGGGAACGTTTTGACATAAATCTGTATGTTCATGACAGGATCCAGTCTACATATACCCCAAGGACAGTCTGTTGGAGAAATGCATTTGGATGGAATAGTGAACAATGCTACAGACTTGTTAAAAATATGAAAGGATTTCCTTTAAAGAATGATACATAAGAATTAGGATTGGGAGAAAAGTAGGTCTACTGGATGTTTGCAACACTTGAGCAGACAATATCCCCTGAAGGCAGGATACGAAGAGCTAGTGAGACATGGTGAAATCACCACTTAATTATGAACTTCATTTTGATCAACAGGCAATATTTATCTGCATGAGTGTATAGTTTGGTCTAACCTGCATGTGTCTAGGAATAAAGAGAAAAGGGTTGAGGATAACAAAAGGAATTATTAATTGAGTAGATGTAATCTATGTAGGAAATATATACACTTAGGAGTTTAATGAAAGTATGGGATTAGTAAAGAGTCAAGTGATTTTTTTCTTTTTTTTGTTTATAGAAACCAAGATGTTACACAGCAGCAAGGGGCTGAGAATCAAGACCAGAGTTTGTACTTTACCATGACCAACTACAGTTGAAAGCCTGGCATCAAGAGGTGAAAGACTAAAAACTAAGGAGGGTTTAGGGATTGGGCTAGGGGAGCAATTCATGTTCAGACATGGTGCTTAAATGATAAAGTTGGAAAGATCTCTAACGAGAACTAATATAGTGATGACCCTGAAGATACAGAAAATAGAAAACCTAGATGGAATAAACTCTCAGAATTTGAGACCAGAATGAGCCTAATGTTAGTAGGGAGAGTCTGGGTTTGAATAAAGCTGACAAGTCTAGAAGAATACTATACGTTTGGCTGAGAAATCTTTTTGGAAGACCTCAGAGAGTGATTTGGGTTGAGTGGCTGGGCCAGGAGCCAGACTGTAAGAATTTAAGGAGACAGTACCAAACTTGTGTTTTCAATGGTCTAATAAATGACATTTTAAGAAGTGTATTTTAACTTGGGAAAATGTAATGCTACCTTGATATTAATTTATGGTAAAATACGCAATCCAGGTCAGGCCCAGTAGTATTCATATACACCCCTGGACTTACCTTATTTAGCAAGTAGAAGCCCCTCCTCATTCTACACCTATGTTGCAATAACCAATTTTTTCCCTTTCTTCCTTCCATAATGCTTTGAGAGGGACACACTAGAGTATAAATATATTTGAAGTGAGTGTCACCTCATATTCTGTAGTGATTAAGAGCTAGAGAATAGGAATTGAATGCTAAGCTAAGAAAGAAAAAGGTCACTGAGGGTGTTGAATAAAGCCAAGACTTGATATCAGAGAAGAGAAAGGACAATAAGAATATGTTAAATGTCAGCATAATTTTCTAATTGTCTATTTCTCTTCCTCAGAGACTTCTGTGGAATTCATAGCTCAAGATTCTCTCTTCTCGAAAAGAGATGTGCATTGTTCACATCCCTGATGGTATCCTGGTCTTGTGTCCTTCATAAGGAGGACTCTACTTTAATGCTACTGCTAAGTTCATCTGTCTTCCAGTGTCAGGATCATTTGGAGAAACATATCCAAAGATCAAATCAATTCCATTTTATACAACGAAGAGCCATTCAAGAACAAGAACAAAAATATGAAGCTTTTTAATTTATTTTATTTTTTGTCTCAAAGTCTTTCAGAATTCAGAGAGATCTCTCTTGCTCTGCTTCCTTCAAGTATAGAATTCTTATTTTTTTCTTATTCCTTTATGTTGTTCATGTTTTTGTTGTTGTCTTTGAAAGAAAATATTTAAAGGTTGAATAAAAGTTTTAAAAATATATGTCTTTTTGTATAAAAAAATTCCCCTTTCTCTTTAGGATAGGGTTTGCATAGGCTGAAGACATAAAAAACTTGTAAATATTCTGTATAGTCATGGGACCATGAACAATATGTCTACAAAAATATCAGGAAAAATCAAATGTAATTATAGCATGAAAACATATAATTCCATTAGTGACGCTCTGTGCTTTTCAGGAATGTTCACTGATGCAGGACAATAAAACTGAGCTCCATACTCCTCCGTATGTTTCTGATGATTACTGCCCTAAAGATATATATTTCACATGGGCATTCAGAATGTCTTCTTTAAAAGGTTTTCCTTCTCAATTGGGTTGGCTAAATTCTTATCCTACAATTTGCCAGTTTTTCTTCTTTAAGTTTTAAATAAAACTATTGACTTTCTTATGTTCTGACCTCACGTTCTTTGCATTGACAAATCAGATTTATGGGGATGGAAGAAAATATACTGTTCCTCTGATTGTTACTTTCATCAATTCCACTCTTCTGAAATACATAACTCTCTATGCTACCCCAGCAGTGATAGGGGAGTCCACAAAAAAAAGCACTTTGTGCATCTGATAAGCATGCAAACAAATATAGCTTTTAGAAAACCAACAATAATTCTCTAACAAGTAAGCAAAGCGCATGGTGTGATGAAAACTGTGCTTGGGCATTCCCACTCTGGTGGGAGTGCAACTCCATGGCAATTGAAGGGATTGCTCATTTGTTTATCATGCTATGGCAATTCCACATCACACACTCTGGGAGAGCTGGGACTTAGTAAGCACTTGGGCAAAATATCATTTGTGAAGCAGGAAAGTTTAGGTTTGAGGTTTGCTGTAGTGTAAACTAGCTGTATTTTACCAAGGTTTCCAAAGAGCAAGGCTTATTCTAAAGAGAGGGGTTTCATCTGCCATGCCAAAGGCCTGGCACAGACAGGCTAAGGATAGTTATGCCACAAGCCCAGGGAAACCATGCCTGGAAGAGGTGATAATCTGGTTTCTAAGAGAATGTCCAGTGAGGGCTGACTTTCAAATATCTAATTTTACTTTCTTTTTCCCCCATCTTACTAAATCCTTGGGAGAGTTGATTCTAAGTAAGTGGATTACAGTTTCACATTTTTCTAGCTAAAGGATCCACAGATGTAAGAATCCAAGAAAGATGAGCAGGGATTCGGTGGGGGTCGCGTTAGAAAGGTCTCTGAAGTGTTGGGCTCGCTGGGCCTCGCCAGACTACTGTGAAAGAGCTGACGGCGCCTGCAATTCCATGGTTTTATCAGGCATTTGAGAGTTAAATATACTTCTGGATTGAACCCAAGTTTTACACAGAGATGTTTGCTCATTTTCATTAGATGTTTGTAGAAATATGGGCACCTTATGAATCAAGAATTACTGCCTTTTTTTTTTTTTCTTTTTCTTTTTTCAGTTTACCTGTAGGGAGTGTTGAGTTTAGGGTCTGAAATTAAGTGAAAACTTGGACAGAGGAAAAAAGTGGGATAATAAAGGCACCAACAGGAAGCTCTGATGCATATTTTACATATATAACAGTTCCAATAGGTTCAAAGTGTCTACAGCGGAGTTTAATATGGGGCGAACTGAACTTCTGCCAACTTATTCTGTGCTCTGCCCTATTAAAATACTGAAACTACTCCCAAGACATTTGGAGAGAGAGGGAGGGAGGGAGGGAGAGAGGGAGGGAGGGAGGGAGGGAGGGAGGGAGAGAGAGAGAGAGAGAGAGAGAGAGAGAGAGAGAGAGAGAGAGAGAGGGAGAGAGAAGTAAGGGGGGGAGAGACAATGACAGAGACAGAGAGACAGAGAAAATAATGAATAACTTTTGGCCCTAAAATGTGTGATTCTAAACCAGATGTCACACATGAGGGCCATCATATGACTAAGTCAGGTTCAAGTACAGCAGATCTCTATATCTAAATACTGTGTTAACACAGAGCAAAATTTGGAGCCAGACTGTCTGTCTATGGGCCTCTGCCCTGTACTGGGTCATCAGCTGGAATACTTCTCTAGGGACACAATATAAAAATATCTTAGGAGAAAAAGCAATTATGTGTTGTTGTTGTTGTTTTATTAGGGGACTTTTCTTTAAAAAGAACTAAAGTCCTTGGAACTCACTTGGGACCTGAAGCACATGTAGACTAGTGACAAAGGCAGAGATGTGCTAGATAGAAGAAGGAAGACAAGCTTGCTCACAGACTAAAGTGGAAATAGTGAGAGGGTCTGTTAGGAAATAAACTCTTTTAATCAGTGAGAAGAGATGAAGTTCAGTCATGAATCAGAAGGAAAATTTAACCGTTGTGATGTTTGTCTATGATGGATAGGCAGTAGGCTGGAGTTCTCATGGGGAATTGGAGAATGGTTTCAGGAACATTCATTTATTTAGCACATATTTACTGAATGTCTACTATGTGTTAAGGATATTCAAATTCTGGGTTGAGAACACAGAATTAAATAGATAAAGTCCCTGTCCTTAAGGGTTTTATATTGTCACTGAATCACCTACCAGATATATAAACAAAGAAAAAAACAACAACAAAGAAATATATAGTATTTCAACTGGTGAAAAAAACAAACAAACAAACGAATGAACAGAGTTAGCAAATACAAAAGGCTATAGGGATAGATGGTGATGGCTCATTCAAAGAAAGCACAGGGAAGGCCTTCTTAGGAGATGGCAGCTGGAGAGAAGAGACCTAGAAAAGGGGAGGGCACTAGCCATGCACAGACTCCAGTGGTGGCAGGGAACATATACAGAGGTGAGACTGAGTCTAGTGCCTGTGGAACAGTGTAAGGCAGAGATCCAGGTTAGGGAAGTAAAACAAAGTAACTATGCAAAAGGAGAGAGAGTGCTCAACTGGGCCAAATGCTGAGAGCCCCAGAAAGATAAACCAGGAAGTTGGCAAGAGAAGGTCATTCCTCGGACTTGAAGAGAGTCATATGACTGGAAGGGTAGGGAAGAGCAGAGAGAAGGGGCAGCAACTGGAAAATGGGCTCAGGAGGATTTTCTGGTGATGGGACTATTACAGCATGGTCAATGGTGGTAAGAATAATTGAAAGGTGTGGGAAACTGGGGACTCAGGAGTGAAAGGAATCATTTCAGGAGAAGATTCCATGAGTAAGTGAGAGGGTCTGAATCCAGGATATGAGTAAAGGTGTAAAGAAAAGGCAGAGCATGTGGTATGGTGCAAAGATGAGGTAATTATTTCAGTTGCTTTTTTTAGTGATGGAGGAGGAGTTTTTTTGGGAAATTGAGAGGAGAACTGAAGGTGTGAGGGGAGAGGTTTGAAATAGTCAGTTGGAAGAGTTGATTCACCCAGGGATGCTGAGACCCACTTGAGATGTGTGGTCACACTCAGCTGTCAAGGATCAGGCAGAAAGGACAACCGTGAAACACACTGTCAAAATGTTAGATGCTTTCAAACTCTGCATTCATCATTTCATACATACCACACTCACTCTCTAGTCACCCTCTGCTTCTCTAAACATTGAGCTCAGAGAGTATCTTACATTATGAGATAGAACAACAGATACAAATCCATGAAAATATCCTCAGAAAACATCCAGTTCCACCAAAATTCAGATTTCCTTGAAAACAAATAAAATAGGCTACACGTTTGAAGGTTTATTATGTGGTAGGCCATTTTTGAATTTTAATGCATTAACTCATTTAACCCCACTAATAAAATTAGTCCTTTTATTCTTCTTCTCACTTTAGAAAAAAGATTACTAAGTCTCACAATCACTAAAGAAACTACCCAAAGGCACAAGTGTAGAAAGAGGTAGCGCTAAATTTTGAACTCAGGTCCATTCTTCCTCCAAGCCAGAAGTCTCTAACCATCATGCCCAGAGAGATGGTGACCTGCACGGGGTTAACCATTAGGGAGGCCTCCAATCCATGGCTCCAAACACTTGATTAATTCTAATCACTCCCCATTGAATCATTTTGCTTTCCTTAGCTGGTGCTTTCAGAATTCTTTCTATAAAACTCTGTACAGACTGTTTAATATAAAAGTAACCAATAGATTTATTGGTTCCCCAGTGCTGTTTTTATATAGGATGTTCTCTAAAATGAGCAAGTAGTGTTGGGAGCTTGAATTTTAATTTGGCACTAGAAGGCAGGGACGGGGAACGTTCAGTCCGAGGGCCATATAAGGCCCATGAAATCATTTGGACTGGCCCTGCCAAAGCATTAGGGTTGAGCTGATTAAATGTTTGACCAAATATGACAGGGTAATTTTTACACTAATAATTCCGTATGGCTTGTGAATAACGTTACAACTATCCAAATGATCCTTGATAGAAAAAAGGTTCCCCACCCCTCCTATAAGGTAATAATTCACTTCTCCTTCAGTCTTTGCACTGCCTTAGGCTGCTTGCTTTGCATTCTTACTGTGAAATAACTTTAGAGAATCATGGCTTCATAACACATGACGTATTAATGCTACAAAATAAGTCAAATCCTTAAAGCACAATCTATTTAGCTTCTGTGCTTCTGGGTTTTCACACCTTTGAAATATCCCTTTGCAGATCCCTCCTTCTAAAGCAGACCACCCTTGGGAAAGCACATAATCTTAACTATTCTATAGTCCAATCCCTGACTTGCTTTCTCATATCTTTTTTGTAAAATTCCTAAAATTCCCTCCTTAATCTCAAATGCATAAAAGAAACTGCACACTGTTATTCTCTGGAGCATTTGAGATATTGCTTCTGGCAACTATCATTAGTTTGGCTCAAATAAAGTCCTATAAAATATCTCCTGACTTCAAACCTTCATTCTTCCATGGTAATTTTGATCTTTAGAAATAAGATCATTTGAACCCTAGGCAATGAACAAGGAGTATCGTCAAAATATCATTGTTTTTCTTTTTTACGAAAACACCATAAAGCTGCTTCCATCCCAGAACTGAGCATGGACTTCCTTTTGGAATAAGAAGGGGTGCCAATAAAGAGGCAAGGAGGTGAACTATAAAAAAGAAATGAAGCTGCTTTTCTTGAGTGACTCATAAATGGATTCTAAGTATAATTCGAAAAGCAAAGTTCTCATGGTTATAAGAAGCTAGCCCACTATGACAATGACAGCGCTCAGTGGGTGTGGCTCACTGGTTGAGCAACAAAAGATTACTTCCTTATTCCAAATAGCATTCTTTAGCAACATTTGAGGCAACAAATCAAATAATTTCTTAAGGTTCCCTTATTAAGGACTGGAGGCCCAGTGCACAAATTCATGCACTGGTGGAGTCCCTCTGCCTGGCTAGTGATCGAGGCTGATTGAGGCCATCTTGCCTAGTCCCTATCGGGGCAATCAGGGCTGGTCAGTCAAGGGGGAAGGAAGGGGAGAGGGATGGTGAGAGATTGGTCCACCACAGGAGGTTGGCTGTGTGAGCACACTGACCACTGGGGGCAGCTCCTGCATTGAGCACCATATGCATTGAGCATTATCACTGGTGGTCAGTGAGCATCATAGTGACTGGTTGACCAGTTGTTTGGTAGCTTATCTATCTATATCTACATATATCTATATCTATATCTATATCTATATCTATATCTATATCTATATCTATAGATCTGCATAGATATATATCTATATATGTAATTTTTATGCTTAAAGTCCATTTCGATTTACAAAAATTTTATAAAATAATTATATCAAAGTAATAAGCTTTATTTTGATGTAGAAAACTCATTCATGAAGAAGAAAAAATAATGCAATTTCTTATTAATTTTGTAAAATTTGCCAATTCACATAAAAAATAATGGGCTAGTAGAAAAAAATAATTAAGAGCAGATATGATCGATTGCAATAAAACCACATAAATGTATTTTTTCTAATTATGCTTTTAATTCTCACCCCAAAATATATTTTTTATAGATTTTTTTAGAGAGGAAGAGAGAGAGGGAGGGAGGGAGGGAAGAGAGAGAGAGAGAGAGAGAGAGAGAGAGAGAGAAAGAGGGAGAGAGAGAGAGAGAGACATATATGTGAAATAGAAACATTAGTTGCCTTCCTTTTGTGCTCCAATTGGGGATCAAACCTGAAACCTAGGTATGTGCCCAGATCAGGTATTGAACTAGCAACCTTTCATACCTAGGAAATGCTCTATCAATAGAGCTACCCAGATGGCTAAATATATTTTTAAATGGCTCTTGATTTTTGAACAAAATAAAATTCTAGCAAGGTTTCTTGGGATAAAACATCCTGATTACTTACCTTGCCATACTTCTGGGCATAAGAACCTGTGAGCAGTGAATGAAAAACAATGATGGTTTCATCCAAGTCCCAGACAAACACACGCTAAAGAAAAAGATAAATATCAAAGAATTATTAAATTATAAGGAAGTAGAAATCTCTTTAGAAGTAAAAAGCACCTCATTTTGTTGTTGGATATACTCTTGGTACCATTTTAGAGAAACCTATGTTACTCCATTACTTTCCCCCCAATTTTCCAGATCTAACCCTTGTAAAACCTGAGGAGTAAGATTTATGCAAACAATAAGCTTAAAAATCAGATGTTCTGATTTAAAGAAATTCACCCAAATATTTATCTGCAGTTAATACTGCAAAAGACATATTTGGACTTAGTGATAAAAGTGAATTTGAAACTATCTTAAAGTTTTATGCCTCATGTATTTGTGATATTTTGCAATACATTCAAAGAATCAAAAATTTAAAAATATTTAAAAGACTCATTAATAATCCCTAAATAGATAGTACCAAGTATGAGCTCTTGAGTCAACTTAGACCATCAGGTGGGTTGTTTGGTCTGCACAGTGAAATATTTCAAATTATTGATCAACTTTTTAAGATTAGGAGATTTCAAACAAACTTCAGGGTTCTTTCTGTAGCAGAGAATGTTGAAGCTGTAGCAATGCTGGCTGAGGTGCCACAGGGATGGGTGGGCCCCTCTTGATCAGGCCAATGCTCTCTGTTCTCACAGTAGGCTGGCTTCTTAGCTCAACTGACCCATCAGATTGTCACCTGCTGAGTTCCTCAATACATTTGAATCTGCTACTGTTGTTCAGGTAAAGGAAATGATCTCTTATGAAGAAGGTGTAATGACTATTACTTAACTTGACCAAATCTAGAAATTTAATGTTTTTTCTTAATTGAAGCATGCAATTGCTTAAGAAGTAACAGATTATGGTTAAGAATAGTTTCTCCTGATATTTTATAATAAAAGTCAACCTGTTTCATATGGATATATATCTCAAAAGAGCTTTAAGTAGAAAAAAAAAAAGACTCATAAAAATTTATACAGATCTAAAATTTTAACCTGTATTAGATTATTGAAATTTTTTTTTCTATTTTCAGAAAATAACTTTTCATTTTCATACAGATTAATTTTACCTTTTAAAATTAATTGACCCATATAAGTATCTTTCATTACATTAGTACTACCAAATGGTTGTTTCTCAGAAAATCACCCCGGAAACAATTATTTTTAAAATTTGTTTGTACTAATGTGGACCAAAAGATGCAATTATCTCAGACCTAGAATTTTTAACTCATTATCACTTTTAGTTTTTTTTTTTTTTTTTAGTTTTTTTTTTTTTAATTTGGTCATTATAATGGATGAAATCTCAAACTTTCAGCTCTGAAATGCCTATTGCAAAGTAGATCTATTCCCTTTATCATGATATATCCCATATAATAAAAGGCTAATATGCAAATCGACTAAACAGTAGAACGACTGGTCACTATGATGCACACTGACCACCAGGGGGCAGATGGTCAACATAGGAGCTGCCCCCTGGTAGTCAGTGTGTTCCAACAGGGGATGCACCGCTCAGCCAGAAGCTGGGCTCACAGCTGGCAAGTGCATTGGTGGTGGCGGGAGCCTCTCCTGCCTCTGTGGCACTCAGACATCCCCTGAGGACTCCCATACTGTGAGAGGATGCAAGCTGGGCTGAAGAATCCCTTCAACCCCCCTGGTGAGTGCACAAATTTTGTGCAACACACACACACACACACACACACACACAGTTTGAAACTTTATGAAACTGTAAGTATAGAATATGTATTCAATAAAAATAAAACATCATATTACGCTCTTTGAGGATGAGTCAGCATACCTCCAGGTCACTGTCGGGAGGTGGGGAGGGATTGTTTTTCCGGCCTCTTCCTCGGGACTTTGACCCAGAACTCCTACATGTTCTCTCATCAAGATCTTTAATGGGTGTTGAGGGGCTCTGCACGGTATCGAACTCTCCTATAAATACATAAGTCACATCAAGAACAGCACTTCATTTTTAGATTAGGCATGAGTCTTCATTATTAATCATCTTAACAAATTCTTATTTCATAGAAATCTTAGGATGAGAGAGAGAGAGAGAGAGAGAGAGAGAGAGAGAGAGACAGAGAGAGACAGAGAGAGAGACAGAGAGAGAGACAGAGATTTATACTCCCAAATACCCATAATCCTAAAGGGACAAAAATATCTGTCTATAGATAAGACAAATCCCTCCCAAGTTTCAGTCTCTGTGATCTATTACACCTGAACACCTTTTATACTCCATATGCCTTCAACTTCCTGTTTCTACCCCCACCTATTGATTTATCTAAATTTAAATCTGTTCTCACCTCCTGACATCAGAGTTCAGAGAATGAAATGTCTTGTGGATCAATTCCATGTAAACTTGACTCCCCTACCTCACCTCTTAAGGAATCTTACTCCATTAGTCAAAACCTCTCTCATCTTTGGCCCAACCTTTTCCTCTTCTGGGGTCATAGGCAAGTTTAAAAGTCCTTCCCTTTGACCTTGTATTTCCATCTAGAAGCTATCTGCTTGCTACTTTATTTTTTTTTTAATAATACTTCTTAAAAGAATATTGCATACCAGTGCTGTCTGACAGAAATATAATGAGAACAACAAATGTAACACAAAAATAATTTAACATTTTCTGGAACCCTCATTAAAATACGTCAAAAGAAACATGTAAAATTAACTCTATTTATGTTAATTGACCTAATTTATTCAAAATATCAATTTCAATATGTGATCCATATAAAATTATCAATGACATAATTTACATAATCTCTTCTTTAAACTAAAGTCCTGTGTGTGTTTACACTTACAGTGGACCTCAATCTGTATTGGCCACATTGCATGTGCTCAAAAGCCACATGTGGCCAGCAGCTACAGTACTGGACAGCACATCTCTCTCCACTTCCTGACAGCCAATTTGTCATCAATTAGCTTCAGTTCACCAAAACTGTAAAACTACTCTTTTTCAAAGTCCCCAATAACTACCTCATTGACAAATGCAATAGAGAGACTCAGACCTTAGATTCCTGGGTCTCCATGCTGGGTTTGATCCTCTTAGACAGCACCCCTCAGACCAATATTTGGCAGCTGATACCCTACACTCTCCTAAGTTTAGGTTCTCTCTCACCTGCTCTTCCTAGGAGACCTGGACTCCTTTTGCTTCTCCCATTCCTTTTGTGTTGGTATTTACAAGTTCCACGCTTAAATCACTGTCCTTCTCATGCCACACTATCTGGGTGATCCATGTTAATTACCCTCTGTGTGATGACTATTAAATAAATCTATATCCCCAACCAGGCTGCATCCTAAGTTTCAGACTTTGTATCTAATTGATTTCTTCATGTCTCATAGATTCTTTAAAGTCTGGCATGTCTAAAGCTAATGGTGAAGCATCTTATGAGGTAGGAAGTACTGAGCACTGGCAAATCTGTGTGTACATGTGAGGTTGGGGTGTGCTAAGATAAATAAATGGAGACATTAGTGAGGTGTGGTAAAACCTCATAAGTAACCAGAGTCAGATTTATACTATGACTGCAAGCATTTTATTCAATCTCTCTGAATCTCAAGTGGTGTGTGTGTGTGTGTGTGTGTGTGTGTGTGTGTGAGAAAGAGATATTAAGGCATGAGTAATAGCAGCTACCTTTTTAAATTATTGAGATAGATCTGATTTACATTTAATTGGATTTAAATAATATGCACAAAATAAAAACTTCTAGGAGAGTGATGGCAAGCTATATTGAATTTAGGTTATGAAATTTTAAACATAAAGATGCTATGACTTCATGTTTTATAATGAAATTAAAGTAAAATAATTTTGAGGACAGCCAAGCAGTTCTTAATATAAACAATCAAATCTGAACAAACTATATAACATGTAGGTAATATTTTTTTCTGAGATGTTCTAAATAATAGTAAATTCTACATGGCTTATAATCATTTATAACAGTTATAACATCTTTGGGAAATATTGTGCATGTCAGAACAGCATCAAAAATATATCTGGCCCTGACTGGTTTGGCTCAGTAGATAGAGTGTCTGCCTGGGGACTAAAAGGTCCCAGGCTTGATTCTGGTCAAGAGCATATACCTTGGTTGCGGGCACATGCCCAGTAGGAGGTGTGCAGGAGGCAGCTGATCGATGTTTCTCTCTCCTCAATGGTTCTGACTATCCCTCTCCCTTCCTCTCTGTAAAAAAAAAATCAATAAAGTATATTTTAAAAAATATGTCTGTGCTCCAAATATCCTTTGCTCTTAAAACATTACTAGCACAGTTCATTGTGTGGATCTTTGCTATCAACTGTGTGAGAGTAGACAGCATAATAAAATGTTTTAGTAATGAGGTTAAATATAGCTCTATCTTACAGTAAATCATGTTTCAGCTTACTTGCATAGGTATGAATTAGGCTTTAGGTATTTAAACACACACCAACTTCCAAAATATAGCATATTATAACTTTTTTTTTTCTATGTTTAGTTGTTGTTGTTTTTTAACAGAATTTTTCTAAGGCTACTATGTCCTGCAAATCAAATGTTCTCTTTCAAATAAAATGTAGATTCAAATTAACTCTAATATTTAAAATAAGCTTGTAATAATATTTTGGGGACGACATTCCATACAACCTGTCTTTTTCTTCACTATAGATCATTTTTCAGGTGTTAACTATCACAAGGCTGCTTTGTTCTTGCAACAGTGCAAGAGCTGAAAGGACAAAAACTTGCAAAATCCCCAAGCCGCTGTGATGTTATGGGTGGTTGATGGTTGACTGGATCTATAAAGAAGGAGTTTGGCAGAAACAACTTAGCTATTCCAATAAATTGGGAGCAAGCAGCAAGGGAGTGAAAAGAGCGGGAGGGGCAGGGAAAGGAGAATTTATAAGAAATGTTTGGGTTTCAATAAAAATGGGACTTGATACCACTGATTCTTTCCAAGTTACTGAAAGATCTTAAAAGGGCTCTAAAAATTTGGACACAATATGGACAGAAGTGTTTTGGTAAGCTTTTTAAAGAACTAAGAGGATCAGCTCCATATTTATTAAACCTTAATTATTTTCTTTCATATACTGTCTTTCCTTTTAAAATGCTTATTGAAATATGTTTGACTATTCATTGTTTATTATCTCTGTGTGATTGATTGACATTTGTAGCTTGGGGCAGTTATCTGTTCTTTTTTTTAATGTGGCTAGAACATTGATATGTATTTATATATGCTTTATTTATTTTTCTGTTCATATACATTTGGATTATTCATAATTTTAGGCAACTATGAATAAAGCTGCTATAAACATTCTTGTTCTTGTCTTTGTGGACTCAGCTCCCATTCCTCTAAGGTATATATACCTAGCAGTGGGACTGCTGGGTTAGAGGAAAAGCATATGTCCATGTTTAACAGACTCTGATCACCTTTTTCCAAAGTGGTTGTGTTAATTCACTATCCTACTAGCAATGAGAATTCCAGTTGCTTGACATTCTTGCCAATATTTGATATTGCTAGTCTTTGTTACTTTAGTCATTGTGGGGGTTTGATGGTATCTTAATGTAGATTCAATTAGTATTTTCTTGATGAGTAATGATGTGAAACACTTTTTTTATGTTGATTTCCCACTTGGTATCTCCTATTTTTGATATAAGTGTTTACATCTTTTGCTCATTTTTAAAAAAATATATCTTATTGATTTTGTGCAGAGAGGAAGGGAGAGAGATAGAGAGTCAGAAACATCGATGAGAAAGAGTCATCGATCAGTTGCCTCTTGCACACCCCTCACCGGGGATATTCCCGCAACCAATGTACATGCCCTTGACCGGAATCGAACCCAGGTCCCTTCAGTCCCCAAGCCGATGCTCTATCCATTGAGCCAAACCGGTTTCAGCTCGTTTGCTCATTTTTAAAATTGGGTTATCTTTTCCTTATTGATTTGTCAGCACTCTGAAACATTTTTTCTATATCTGCATCTTTGTCTATAGCTCTATAACATAAACTTCACTTTGACTCTGTGAATCTGGTCTTTCATTATCCTCTTTTAATAATGGGAAAACTGGAGACATGTGAGACTTAACTTACCAAGATGAAATGTTTTGTGTGTGGAATTCTGATATGATTCCAGAACTGCTGCCTTAACCACTAGGCTTACACTTCCTCCTCCAAACTGCAACACTTTCGATTACAAACCTATATCTGTTTTTACTAATCAAGAATTATACAGATTTTTTCCATTTTTTGAGAGCGAAAGCCAAGAAATTCATCAAAAGGACTTTATAGTAAAAGAGCAGGTCCTGAAGAGGCCACAGCAGAATCTGGGCTCCTACAGCTCCCATCAGGTGGAACTATTCTGACCTCTATAGCTTTTGGAGATGCTATCCTTTTTTTCTGATAAAGGGCAAAACCAGGAACTTGAGCTCAACTGGTCATTAAACATTTATTGACACTTTTTTTTTTTTTAAAGGAGAAAGCTGTCAATTCCAGGGCCTCTGCCAAATAATTTCACTCAGGTAATTGTCCTAGGGTACATTAATGCTGCAGATATGGAAAATGCAGGTTGGCGGAGAAGTTAAATGTGGTTAGTTCTTTCTATCTAAATCCTCTGGTTAGCTTCCATGAATTGAATTAGCACTTTGTTTCCTTCCTGTCCTTAAGTGAAATGCCATGAAGCTATGGAAAGTCTACTGAGTTCTGCCTAAGAAACTGGCTTCTTTTCAAAGAGTGAAGTGATCTTACTATATCCCTTACTTTTCTGAAGCACTTGTAAAATTTAATCAGCTAATGTATTGTAATGCCTGCCAAGGGTTCATAGTAAAGGATAATATTGTTACAAATGACTAATTATATATAATGTTAAAGATGTTTGAAATATTTTATTTTATTTTATTTATTTTTTAAAAATATTTTTATTGATTTTTTACAGAGAGGAAGAGAGAGAGATAGAGAGTTAGAAACATCGATGAGAGAGAGTCATCGATCAGCTGCCTCTTGCACACCCCCTACTGGGGATGTGCCCGCAACTCAGGTACATGCCCTTGACCAGAATTGAACCTGGGACCTTTCAGTCCACAGGCCGACGCTCTATCCACTGAGCCAAACCGGTTTCGGCTGTTTAAAATATTTTAAAAAGGACCTATAAAAATATCTCAAAATTTAATGTACGAAAGTCACCTCTTTCTGAATGCAAATCAAAATTAAAATGTACCTAAGATAATCTTTATGTTAAAAGCAAAGAGAGGTCTTTATAAAGATAATGATCTAAAATATTTGTTCTTAATCAGCATGGTAATGTTTCTTTTAAATACACTGTCAAAATATCTAATAAGGTAAAGTAATAACTGAATGTTATTTGCAGTTTCCAAACAACATCAGTCATTACCAACTACCTTAGGCATTTTCTTGGGCCAACACCATACATGATTGAATAATTATCCTTTAATCAGTACAGTAATGAGTAACTGTACATTCTATGCTTTAGATTTTTAAATCCAACTTTATTTCATTAGGGTTTATCATTAAATCAAAACAACCAGCTGTCTCTTATAGAACATGAAGTATGTTTCTCTTTTAAAAATGAGAGAAGTCAACAGAAAATGATTTATGAAAAATTTGGATTTAATTTTTAGGTCTCTGATTTAATTATAAAATGCAGAGTTGGTTAATAGGAAAGAATTTTCATACCATTAAACTAAATACCTCAGAATTCATCAATAATAACAAAAAAAATCTCATAGTTACGATCTACTTTACTTTTTGTATGCATGCAAGATCTGAAAGACAAATCAAACTTAAAGTATCTTGACTAAAGTTCTGAGATCACAGAATACCTTAAAAATACAGACTTGTATATTGTTATGATTTTGGTTGAGATAATAATATAGTTACAAGTAGAAATAATTTCTTTAAATTAAACAGAAAATCTGATAAGATCTGAATATTATTTATCATATCTATAAAATCTTTATATAACCTAAGGCCACAAAATTTCCCCCAAGTCTTCCTCTAGAAGCTTTATAGTTTTAGTTTTAACATGTATTTATTGTATATGGTATGAATTAAGAGTCAAGATTCTGGCAGATTTTATTGTTTATTTAGTTTTGTGGGTTGTTTTTTTTTGTTTGTTTGTTTTTAATTTGCTTATGCATGTTCAGTCCAAGGAGAATGGGGTGGGGAGGGGTGAGAGATTAAGCAAAAAAGAAAAAAAATAATTCACGGACATGGACAACAGTGTCATGATTGCAGAAGCAGGGGATGGGTAGAGGTGGAAGCGTGCATAGAAGGAATTAATTGAGATGGAAAAAATAAAATAAAAAATTTAAAAGTCTAAAATAAACAAACAAATAAAAAATACTTATTCATTCTCCAATTGCCTTTGCATTTTTGTAAAAACCCATTTTCCAGTATATGTAAATAAGTCTATATCTGGGCTCTCTGTTCTATTCCATTGCTTTAAGTATGTGTCTTTTTGCCAATGCCCCACATTCTTGATTACTGTACTTTATAATAAGTCTTGGAATCAGGCAATGTGATCCCTCAATCTTTATTATTATTTTGCAAAAATTATTTTGGCTATTCTAGTTCCTTTGCCTTTCCTTGTAATTTTAGAGTCACCTAGATCATTTCTCCAAAAAGTCCTGCTGGAATTTTTATTGGAATTATGCTGAATTTCTATTAAATTTGCTTTTAACTCTAAATGTTTCAGCTGGGTTAAATATGTGTCAACAAATCCAATTACAATAAGAAAACAGATAAGCCTCAGACAACAAAAAATACAATGGATTTTAAATATGTGCTGACTAGGCAAAGATATTAGACTACTTAGCAATTATCCTAAAAACCCTAGGGGGGTAGGAAACATTCACTGATTGGAGGCCCTGATGACTCATGAAGGTGAAGGAACTATGCAGTCTCTCAAGCATAAAGGAAATATGGTCAGTTATATACAATGAAGATAATACTACAACTTTTCTATGTTGTCAAGACGATCACAAAAGAGTCTGCCAAAAGGCACACTGACCTTTTTATATCCACTTATATTCACATATACACTGCCATTTAAGATTAAAAATCTAAATCTCCTAACTGCTCCACATCTAAAAAGAAGTGTTTTCCAGATGCCAGAAGGTCATCTTACACAGTGATACTAGCGCAGATTAACATGAGCATAATAGTCTGGAAGCTTTCAAGCCTTGTTTCTGAAATGTCCATTTTCTCCATATTATTAGACACAGCAAAACATATGAAAGTATTTCACCTGGATGAAGATCTGTACCTGGTTGGCTAGTCAGTCCTGGGAGAGATTCCTGCAACTGATAGGTTGAGGTTGAGGACGATGTGCCATCAGCTGTGTTATTTGATGTCATATATGCTCCATACGTTGATGCGGAGTAATACTGTGCATACTGGTTTTGGCCAAAGGCTGTGTAGGATGGATAATCCTGAAACAGTAATTGATATGTGTGTGTTTGAAATAGAAATTACTCTCTGGCAGGTTTGAAAAGGAAGCAATTGCTATGGTAAACTGTAAGATTAGTATTTGGTTCCATTTGTTTTAGAGTCCACAGCTTTGAGTTGATTCTAATGGCCAGAGACAATTTTGTGGGCACCTTCTGTATACACATTGTCATGAATTACCCTGCTGGTTTAGCAAACTAGATCCAATACACACATTTAAAAAAATATATATATATATATATTTTATTGATTTTTCACAGAGAGGAAGGAAGAGGAGAAAGATTGAAAGCTAGAAACATCGATGAAAGAAAGCTAGAAACATCGATGAAAGAGAGACATCGACCAGATGCCTCTTGCACACCCCACACCAGGAATGTGCCTGCAACCAAAGTACATGCCCTTGACTGGAATCGAACCTGGGACCTTCCAGTCCACAGACCGATGCTCTATCCACTGAGCCAAACCGGTTTTGGCATCAATACACACATTTTAATCTGCCTAAAGGGTACATATGCTTCATTTTGGCCCCAAAATTATTTATCCAAGGATATACATCAACATGTCTTATGCACTTGAAGAGGCAAGAAGGGGATGGAATCAGTTCATATTCACAGCATCCGTCTCCTACATCTAACATCACCTGCAAGGGGGAGGGAGGTGTGGCTGCCCTCCTAGCTTCCATGCACAACTCAGTCTGCATTATAGTGATTTTCATTCCCCTTCTTTCATTCCCCTATCCAGTATAATTTTGTTTTCTTGTCAGGAGATAAAGAGTAAGTAAAAGGAGATGAATATAATATTTTCCTCAGTCTCTCACAGGACACATGTCACCTGAGGCCCTGACTTGGAGATGTCAGTGAGGTCTTCAAACATTTATTTGCCTCATTTGTTACAGGGGGGAAAAAGAGAAAACATTGGATCAAATCCTCTGACTTGCTTTTTATTTAAAAAATTTAAGAACCTTAAAGTGACCTTAATAATCCTTCAAATTTTTTTTACATATTAAGATCATGAACAAGGATTTGTTGTGATAACTGATATTTAATATATCTAGTGTGTTTTAGCTCAAATTATTATTAATAATGACAAAGCCTTGGTCAGGATTAAGGTTCCCTAATACATGGTCCTAAGGGAAAGAAGACCCATGTTTGATGTGATTCCCAAAAGAGGTAATTCTCTGTGTAAGTACATATGTGTACAAACAAATATCAGAAAGGATTAAGTAGTGTGGCAGAAAACTAAAATTCTATCTATCTGTTCATTTCTAAATTTGATGGTCCCCATTACCACGTGTGAGCCCATAAACAAAAAAAACAAAAAACTTGAAATATTTGGACAAAGTGCCTAGCAACACAAATTTTTCAGAGTAAAGCAGTAAAAACATTTTCATAGTGACTACTTTGTGTCAAATACTGTTCTAAAGCCTCCCATGGACTTAGTCATTTAACCCTCAAACCCCCTCTGCAGTATTATCATTATTCATATTTTACCCTGAAGGCGATGGAGGCATAGAGTGCTTAAGGATTTGCCCAAGGTCAGATAGCTAGAGAGCCTCAGAGCTGCCACCGGAGGCCAGAGAGCCTGAACTGCACCTGTGCTTAAAGGAAGATGAATTTACTTATTGAAAAGGCCCAGACCACTAGCTTCTGGGGAAGACAATGTCGTTTTGTTCTCACACATATCTCAAGGATCTAACTGCTTCTCTTTATTTCCTCTACTGCCATCCTGGTCCAAGCCACCTTGACTTGCTGTTGGAGCCAATGGACAGGTTTTCTAATTTGTCTCCTCCTTTTTTTTTTTTTTTTTTTTTGGATTTCTCCAAAGTCCCTGAAGCCAGAGTAATCTTTTCAAAACATAAATTACATGATGCTATTCTCCTGTTCAAAATCCTTTAACAGGTTCCCACTGGGATTGGAATACAATCTAAATGTCTTCCTATACATCACAGGGCCCTACTTGTGCAGGCCCCTGACCATCTGTGCAGATGTGTTTTCCCACTGGACTCTCAGGTACAAACTAAACTCCAGACTGACACACCAAGTTTATCAGCCCTGGACTATCTAGTACATGCTGCTTCCTATGCCTGAAACACCCTTGCCCTCATTCTTTACGCAGCCCTTAGGAGACTTGGCCTAAATGACAGTTCCATGGACGGGCCTTCCACAACATCTCCCTTACTCCAATTAGACTTCTAATAATATTTTTAATAGGACCCTGTTCTCTCCCCTCATGCTAATTGTGTATTTACCTGTCTACTTACTGGTTTATTGTCAACTTTTCTCAGGAGGCTGTAAACTCCATGCGATAGGATCATGTTTGATCTAACCCATCCCCGCATTCCTTTTCCTAGAACACCTCCCATTCCTACTACAGAATAAGTACTCAATAAGTATTTGCTAAAATAATAAATTGGTACACGGTCCATGGTCCAAAATACAGCCTACATTTTATATCGGAGCCACTGTATTTAAATATTCAGGTAGCATTGGATCTGTTTTATGATATAAATCTTTCCTCTCCTTTATGAATCTTTAATCCTCTCAACTGGAACAGACGAATTCTTTCCCTTATGTTATCACTCTACCTAGTAAACTAAAAAATAAAAAAAAAGTCAAAAGTTTCCCTAGCTGGTTTGGCTCAGAGGATAGAGGATTGGCCTGTGGACGGAAAGGTCCCAGGTTCAATCCTCCATTAAGGCAGGTGCTCGGGTTGTGGGCTCACTCCCATGTAGGGGCATGCAGGAGGCAGCTGATTAGTGATTCTCTCTTCTCTCTCTCCCTCTTCCTTACTCTCTGAAATCAATAAAAATATGTTAATAATAAATAAGTAAAAAATAAAAGCCAAAAGTAGTCCAAAAGGGATTTTATTTAGTAATAAATATCATATTGGATGTAAAATGACAACATAATCCAATTATTGATTACAGTTCAATCAATTCAAGTTCATAAACTGTTTTATTAAAAAATAAAGTTATATTTAGTATATTTTGTTTAGTCTTAAACTACATTATGTTTAGTTTACAACGACAGGAAAGTATGCAATACATTTTGTAATTCCATACCAAATAATTAAAACAATCACAGCTTAAAGTTTAAAGGACAAACCTTTAGCAAACAGGAAATCTAAAATATATAGAGTTACCCAAATCCCCATAATTCTGGATGGCTAATTTTTATTTCTTCAAATATGTTATCTTAATTTTAAATTTAAAAACATTATTCTGGGAGAATATGCACTTATTTGGCAACCTGAAACTCTTATTCTTCCCAAATATAGACATAAAGAAGCAAAAATACAGAAACTACCATACCTGTTGTGATCCACTGAAATTCGTTGAATTGGAAACTGAATTATTTGCATAAATAGTAGATGATGGTGCAAAACCAGAACCTACAAGTAAATAAAAAAGGAATTTTTAAAGTATTTACTGTAAAATAATAAAAATATTTCACTTTGCAGATTCAATTATATATATATATATATATATATATATATATATATATATAATTTGTTATTAATACAGTGAAATTTGAAGTTGCTATATTTATAAGGAAAATGTGCTTGACTCTATAACTCTTGTGATAACAGGTAACATCTAGAACAGTCTTATCAAGGACTGCAACTAAACTTCAAAGGTTAAATGTCTAGTAGTACAGAATATTCAAAGAATAATATATTAGCCAGACTGAAGACTACTTTCAGACTAGTGGAACTCCATTCTATTGAATTTTCAAATGCTCATATCAACTGCATTTACATACAAAAATCACCCAAGTTAAATATCTGGACAGTGTTAGTTTAAGAGATTAATAAGAGAATCCACTTAGACTTAATTGATGCTTGCCTCCCCTGTCATTTCATTTTTGGGTTCTTTCCTTAGAACAAAAAGAGATAGGAACTAGGGCTCAGACTCAATTGGGTTTATACTGTAATACTAAGGTAATCTAAGGCTTAAGGGCCTTCTAAAATTTACTATTAGGAAATTTATTCAATGATTTTTTAAATTAAGGCAAACAAGTGAACTATCAATTTGCAGTTTATTATTTTTTAAATATGTTTTTTAAAGATATGTTTCTTAAGAGGTGAAGGGAAAGACTATTTAGGCAGCTTATTATTTTACCAATGGGGTTGAATAGTATGCAATTAACACAAATTGTCCTGACCCGGAATGTACAATATGAACGTACGTGGGGAAATAAATGAAAATGTCTCTGTGGTCTCTGTCACATACTTACTGAGGCTATAGCATGTGAACAAAGATATTTCTCTCTACATTCTAGATAAAAAGAGACCTGCCATGTCAGCTAAAAAAGCCTAAGTAATCATTTCATTTTAGTCAATTGACTCATGTCTATTCTAGTTGCTTCAAATATGTTAATATATCCCCAAATTTTTGACTCTAATAATATAGACAAAATGACAGCTAGGAATAAGATTTTAATATTTTTATTATGTCACTAATTTTTTTCTGCAGTAACTACACAGTGATTAAAAAGAATTTTTAATTGGAGTAAAAAACAAGGGGAAAAATTAAACAATGACCACATAGGAAGGATTTGGGGGGGTGGTATATTTAAATTATATAAATATTCTTATTAAGAAATATAGTGTCAATATGGGAGAGGGATTTTAGGAATGAACAAAAAAATCATCATTTAATGATAAATGGGACTTAGAAAGTACTAACTCAATATTAAATAGAATAAAAACAGCATAACACCCTTAAAAAATACTAACAAGGAAATGGTTGTTTTGTCATGAATCTTTGAAATCACTTAAGTAGATGCTAAACATGTGACTGCTGGCATGGTGACTGGCTCAGAGGTTGCTTTGCTTGGATCAAGTTTACTATCAATTTGACACAACTTAAATTTAAGTATTTAAATTGAGTATGAGTCATATAATCTTGATGTATATTCAACTTTTTTTATCCTGTTTCTTTGCTGATGAAATTGTGTGATATAATGTTTAAAACTATCTTCATGACTGTATAATTCTACTATGAAGCCAAGGAGTCTCATTCAAAGAATCTGTTTTCACATAACACATCTCCTGTGTTTCTACTTACCTGGCATCTGGTAAGAATAAGGTGTCTGGCCTGGCTGTGGGGTGGAGAACCCAGGGCTGTAACTGAGGCACCCGCTCTGTAACGGAGACTGAGTTTGTGGAAGTCCACTCTCTGTCTTGATGCCTGGCAACATCACACCCAAATCTGTTTGGAAAATACATGTGCAAACCATTGAGTTACTGAAATGATCTTACTTCCATGTGATATATTAGAATATACAACTGCCAGCAGGATTACCAGCTTATAACCAAAGGAGAAGAGAGAAGACGTGAAATACCGTAAGTGGGCAGGCTGTAGGGCTGTCCTGTCTGTGAGTAGGCTGTGTAGACTGCTGGCTGCTGCATTCCCGAATACTGAGTCTGGCCTGCATAGGCAGACATTGTTTGAGCTGCTGGTGTAGAAAGAATGTGTGGATAGGGCCTAAATATCAGAAAAATAGCATTACTGTGGCAACAAAGACTGCATATTAATTCAGACAGCTTAGATTCAGTGAAACCTCATAATAGCCAGGAAGTAATCCTCTTCTTTATCCACAATATAATTTTCACAGTATAGGAAAGGACATGAGTCTGAATGTCAGGAGCTCAGGTTCTGATACAAACCAGGCTAGTGACCTTGGACAAATACTTTAAACTCTCTAAGTCTATACCTTCCTGAAAAATGAGAAATTTTGGTTTAGATATTATATCTAAAGTCTCTTTCAGGTCTATAATTCTTATTTATATCAAACATGGCAGTCTACTTAATATATATTTCTTTTACCAATCAGATGAGTAATTAAAAAATACAGCCCAAACTATATATTTCCTATATATATTAGGAAAATGGAACACAGGCAAGTTAATTAATATGCTTGTGAGTATATTTCCAGTTGCTGTGAGTGACCTAATACTATGCAATGACTACAAAAGTCATTAAAAGTGCTACCAAGATCTAAAATCTAACAACAACAACAAAAGGTAGGCAGCTAGCTTTTTGAAAATAAATAGAATGCCATTCCCCTCATCATGCCACATTTTATAGAATGTTCCCAACTGGATATCCAATCCCCCACCTATTCTTAAAGGCAGACACTTTAGCTGCTGCAGAAAAGAATGCTTAAATGTGTATGAATCAGGGATCCCAAATCTTGACACCTCTGGCTGACTGCAACCAAATTTAGATATACAATCAATACAGTTAAACTTGAAATTTCTACCACTTCCCTCAATAAGTTGACATTATTTATAAAAAAAAGTACAGCATATTCTTCAAAAATATATTTATTATGACTTGAAATCTAAAAAATATATACTGTGATGATGGAATAGATTATAAAGTGATATTTGAATAAAATGTAATATTTTAGGTTTGTTTTAAGCTCAATAGCATTTTAGGGTTTTCATTTAAAAAATCAGTGTGCCCTGTTTTGAACTTGATGCTTTCCTCAAGGTATACCAATATCTAGGATTAAATGAACTTTTCAGATAAAAAGGAGTATATCTCTATTTCTAGATTTATACAGGATATATATCTGTCCAACTAATCTATCAGAGTATCTATCTATAACACATTTATATACATAAATGTATCCCAATTTAAAGTTCTATTGTGTGACCACATATTAATAAAGGTAATCCTGAAAAATTATCTAACAAATCTGAAAAAATCTACTGACCACTTACTTGGAAGGATAGAGCTGTGGGGAATATTGATGTGCTGATCTGGGACTGTAGCCACTACTTGTTATTACTGTAAGACACACACAAAAGTTCAAAAAGGTTGCTTCATAAGTATATTTCATTAGCGTATACAAAACCAATTTAAAGACATTATCACATTAAAGGCATATATCTAAAAATTCACTGATTTTCCAAAAAACATGAATTCATTTTCTAAACAGAAACAGATGCCCATTTTATTCTAACTGAACTGCTTCAACTTTGTTCTAAGAGCATGAAGTGAATTCTTAAAAATCATTCACCTCCATTATTCTTTCATTTTCTCAAATAAGTAACATGCTTTTATGTATTAATATGCTATGGATAAATATATTTAATTATAGGTGATTATTCTTTCATGATGTAAAGGTACATTTTTTTCCTTTGCAAACTTTATGTTTTAAATTCCAAATATGATGCCAATACATTACCCTTCCTCCATATTTATTTTAATATAATTATAATAAAAATTAAGAAAAAATGTGACAGTCCACCCTTGATTTTCAAATTGTCAAATGATATCATATTCTATTTTCTTTCTTTTACCAATCAGATGAGTAATTTAAAAATACAGCCCAAACTATTCTACTATTATAATAATTGCAATATACACAGACTGCATGGGTGATGATGCAACACTTAAAAAAAACACACACACACACAAACCATAATTGCAAAATGCTGTAGCAACCTTATTTACAAAAATATTTTGACCTATCAGAGATAGAACTTTTTTGAGAAGAACAGAAAGGTGAAAGCCAGGTCCTGTTAATATTTCACCTAAACATGCAGCCCCAAACTGGAATATGTCCAAAAGTTTGGAAGTTTCTCTTTCCTTTAACCATCTGCTTGACTAAGACGGATGTATTGCAAATATATGGGCTCTACCGTGTTGAGGAAGTCCCTTCAGAGCCAATCCATACTGGGCAAGCACACAGAGTGTCTTTATTAGGCCATCTGCTGTTCATTCACCTTTCAAAAAGATTAAAGTAGTACACAATGCAGCGCTGGAATTAGTTTAGTCTAATCAATCATAGTTATACTTCAAAGTACTACATCCTTTCTAAGTTGTTCATAATAATTCTAGAGCTAAACTTTTAGAATTGTAAAAGTGACAAATAGGTTTAGGTTGCTAACTATTTCATGAAACATGAGATTTTTCTATATCAAAATGCTATTAAGTGCCCTTGTGATCTGCTACTTCATAAACAGGTAGAATTTAATGTATTTAAAATGCTATTTGGCCTGTGAACCCTGGGGATTAAAGTCTATTATAGTTGTCATAGCAACAGTATAGAAAGTATGTTTTCAAGAATATTATGAATCGATTTTGAAAATTATTAATTATGACTAGGGTGTTATGTTGTAAATATTTTCAGCAGCCATTATTTAAGTGTGCTTATTATGTGCAGTTGAAAATACATTGACTAATGAACCATTAATTTTCTATTTATTTTTACTATACTACGGTCACTAACATTATATAATTTTAAGTGTGACTCCACAGGAAATTCAGTCTGATTCATTAATTCATAATAGTGAATACTGTTTATCAAAAACATAGTTGAATGAGGTTTAATTCCATGACTTTTTATTTATAAAACTTCACTTGAGCACACTCAAAACTTAGACTATTCTAATCTTTTGTTTTCATGGTTGTGAAACACAAGGATTTTCCAAAGAGATATAAAATACTGAAAAGAAACATTCTCTGAAGCAGCTTTTATTAAATAAGCCAAGTAGCAGAATTATTTCAGAAAAATCCATATGGTTGAACACAAGTATGAATATATAGGATCCTTTCTCCCTCAAAGAATGAATCTAGAAATCTTTAGAATAATGCACTCATAACAGTATAAAGGGTCAATTAAAATTTCACATTAATGTCTATATATTCATTTTCTAAATATAACGTAAGATCTTTGTTTTAGAAAACTAGAATGTTTGCATAAAACTTGGAGAGTTTATTCTTCTTAACTAAAATTTCTACATTTCATTCTAGCATAAAATCTCCGCAAAACTGATAACAACAATAAAATTTAAAATGAAGTTGAGCTTATGCTGAACAAAGTAAAGACAGTTGCTACCCAGGCAGCCTAATCTTCAGTATGACTTCTGGAGAACCATGGAGGCCTCCCCCATTGCTATGTAACTAATCTAGACATATTACTCAAAGCACCATACTCATTATACTCCATCATTTCTGCCTATAAAAGTAAGAAAAACTGCTTGCTTTAAAAATTTCCTAAAAACGAATTAGGACAAAATTATAAAGCATATTATCAGGTTCTCCGAGTATGATATCAAGCAATTTTAATGTTTTATTCTTATGATCATGGAACCTTAGCTCAGTGACTGTCAACAGGGTGAGAGGTAGGGGATGCAGTTGGGGGCTGAGTAGAAATTTTGCTTGCCAGGGGACATTAAAAATGTCTGGAGCCACTTTGGGTTGTCATAAGTGGAGGGTGCTACCATTCTCTTGTATATAGATGATAGAGAAGCTGCTAAACATCTTGCAATGCAGAGGACAACTACCTCACAAGAGGAAATAAGTCCAGCTTAGATAGTGCTGCTTTTGAGGATCGCTGACCTAAGTCATTGCTGTCCTAAAGAACTTGGTCCATGGTGTTAGGAATGTTCTATACCTGAGTTATCCGATATGAAAGCCACTAGAAAAACCACATACAGCTATTAAACACTTGAAATGTGACTAGTGTAACTACATGGCTTTTTAAAATTTGTACCAAATATTAGTCAACTCAGACTTAAATAGCTACATATGTTTAGTGGCACTTTATTGGACAGCATGGTCCTAGATAATTCTTAAAAGAAAACAGAGAAACTTTGTTAAAAAAAAAAAAAAAAAGTGTTTGTGTTTGTGTGTGTGTGTGTGTTATTCTCCCCCCCCCATGTTTATATTTTCCTATGGGTATTACAGAAAGACTCCTGAATAGTCCAGAATACCGTTCTAGACTATTTATAGCAGTTTTGATTGTCTGGTCCTTACCACTCTTAACTTCTCAGTGCCTTAGTATTCTTACCAATAAAATGAATCATAGATCTCTAAAATTCCTTCTGGAGCTAACATTCTATAAGTTTGTCATTCAGCTTTCAATTAATTTGTGATATGCTATTTAACTATGTATATCATCAATTATAATTCCATTCCTTTCCTGAAAAATATGTTCATATGCATTTACTTTGTACAAAGTTTACAAGGGTTATAATGAGTAGTAAAAAATGCTAGAGTTAGTTGGTACCTATTTAGCTCCTGGGAGGCAAGTGAATTGCTAGAAACAATATATCAATAGATGAACACATATGAATCTTTATTATTTCTTTCTGTTTGAAGTACTAATATTTATGTAAATATAAGACAAGCACTCCCAATTAGTCTGAACACAGGAAATGGGATCATCTTTATCTTTAAAAATCAAATATATGCTATAATGACATTATTCTCAAGGTTATATGTCAATGCTTTACACAAAGCTTACCACATGAAACCCCTGTCCATGAGAACATGGAAAAATGTAAAATAAAACAGACTAACAGAACAAAGATTTAATTACCACAAATACTTTTCCAGGTTTAATGTTCATCTTTCTGCTAGCTATACACATTCCTCCTCACATTAAAAAAAAAAGAAAAAAGAAAAAAAAAAAAGAATCCTTTCACCAGATAATAAACCAAACAAAATATTGTAACTTTAACTAAGTCAACTTTGTGCGTGTCCTCTGTGCCCACCTGGGAGTTATCAGGTATTGGTATTTAAAAGGATTGATGTTTAAAGACACACCATTGTTCTCTTTGAAGCATTTGAATGAAAGTAGTGCTCTCAGAGGCTGGTTCTAATGCAACCCGCATGTGCTCTCCTGCAGCCCATTAACCTTTAATACTTGTCACTCAGCTGCTTGCATGGGAGGATTTTTTTTTTTTTTTAACCCAGAGAGGAAACAAGGTTATTTAGAAGGAATCAAATGGATAGTTTTACATCTCAAATGTTGGAGGAAAGGCAGTTTGAATGGGCAAGTTGATGGGATAAAGTCAACTATTACAACCTAATTATTAAATTAAACACGGTATAAAATAATTATGAAGGAAGCCAGATCTGCTTAGTTCTGATAAGAAAGTCAAGGGGGATTGTTTTGCTGTCAACTAAAAAAAAAAAAAAATATTTAGCAAGATGATTCCAAATATAATTTCTAAAAATGCATAGTTTTATGACCATCAGTTCTCAAAAAAGTTAATTTATTGCTAAATGTATTTAAAAAAAAACAAAACACCCTATATTCTAACAGCCTTGGTGTTTACGCTGCTCATCCACTAGGAGAACTGTGTGTACCCCGATGTGTACGTAACAACACACGAGCTTAAGGCTTTACCTGACCCAGTAAAAGTGTCAAGCGCTCCATCTCCAGTCGTGGTTGTGGTTTCACTGCTGTTCAAAGGCTCTGTTTTGACTGCAAGGAGAGACACTATGTAGAAGAATAAGTACATGTGAGTTTTATTTCTAAATTGATATCAAAGATGCTGACTGTTCTACTAGTGGTTTTTCTAGCTACCATGGGCATGCAAGAGAGAACTTGAGAAAGTCGATGAGAGTTTTGTTAATTTAGCTTCTAAATGGACATGCATTTGGAGAGAACTTAATCGCAAATTCCTCTGGCCAAGCCAGTTCTCTTGAATCTGGCTTTTCAGGGCAGTCCACCTTACGAAGTTGAAACAGCAGTATTCATATTTGCATTTTTAACTCACCTAAAGCACACTCTGATATTATAGTCAAAAGACAGAAAAAATGAACCATTGGTCAGTCTTCAGAACATTTAATACAAAACATAACAATGAGATGTACTAGTTTATATTTTATTCTCCTCAAGAAGTTATTTTTAAAAAAATAATTGCGTAAGAGTCCAATGGAGGCATACTGAAATACAGAAACCATGGGCATTCTCATGTGATGGGTGAAAAATGAGGTACTCAAATTTTTTGCTCTTAGAAAAGTCTAAAGAGGTGTTGGGCTTTTTTATTTTAATGGCATAATGATTTTTAATGAATTATAGGGCAAAACATAGAATAAAAGATGATTTCTACAGCAATCAGTGTATCTTTTGAAAACTCTTTAATATGTTATTTCCTCTTTGAGGTGGTATATTTTGGCAAAATCCTCACTTGGCAATGATGCAGCCTGGCACACATAATTGTCATTATTAGATGTGAGTCGGGGGAGGGAGGCAGTGGAAAAGCCTCTACTGATTTTGTCACACCATATTTTCCCTCTGTGGGCGGAGCTCTGCTACATATACCACAGCAGCAAGGGAATACACTGAATTATTTTCTACTTAACACCTCTTATGTTTCCTGGAATGATGCACTTAAATAACTTAGAAGCAAGCAGAAAACTAGAAAGAAGAAAGCTGAAGACTAGCCAACCACGAACAAATATGACAAAAAGAATGGTGGGTCAGAACATACCCACCAACCAAAGAAGTCAGTTCGGTTATGCTGTTAGAAAAACAATTAGTGGAGAAACATGCAGTCATGATTACGCTCTCTTTCCACAGGAACAGAACTCACTGGACCCTCCCTTAGCAAGCTCTAAGGTTATTTTACTATTCATCGTTCAATAACGTCCTGAAGGTTTGCTGAATGATTCTAAGAGGTTGGAAAGGGAGGGAGTAAAGAAACTTGTCCTACTTCTCCTAGCAAAAGGGAAATTTAAGGTCTACCTCTTTTTCAACAGCAATATCGTTTGAGGAGTAGTATCTCATTATTTGTATAATGATAAGTAATATATTGAGGTTACTACTTTTTAGTAGTAACTTGGATGGTATTTCCTATTATGCTTATAGCTGATCACTAATGAAATTTACCACCACAAAATTATTTGCTACTATGTAATTATTTATTGAGAGGTTATTATGTGCTAGATTATTCATATTTAACTATTCCTTAAAACAACTTTGATCAATGCAAACTACTATATCCAATTTACACAGGAGGAAACTAATGTTTGGGTGAGCTGATGGGCCTGTTCCATTGCAGGTGATATCAAGCTAAGACCCATATGCAGGTCTTTAGCGCCAAATCAATGACCTTTCCACCATAACAGGCTGTCTTCAGGTATGGAAATGGTTTACATTCATGACAGTGACTCTTCATGATGGCTCAGAAAGTGGTAAGAATGGACTATTTTTAGATGGAGTAACTAGGCACACTTTGATAATAATGAAAGCTCCAAAGTGTGGGAATAGCTAATACTGTTTGTTTTCCATTTCTTCCTCATGAAATATTTTAAAGGACAACAAGAAGTAGCAAGTTTGAAAGCAGATGACAACACATACTTAAAAGGTACTTAATACATTCCAAGTGCTCTTGCTGTGCTTTATAGATATTAACTCATTTACTCCCCATGACAATCATACGAGGTAGGTGGCACTATCATTTTCATTTCTCAGATGAGGAAACAAAGAGGCACAAAGAGGTTAAATAGCTTGTCTATAGTCACAGAGCTAGTGAGTGCTAGAATTTGAGACCAGGGTGGTACAGTTTCAGAATCCAAACTCTCAACCATACTGCCTTTGCATGCTGCACTAACTAACCAAGAATTCTTTTAATCTATGTCTGTATAAAGATGATCTAGAAGGGTATAAAGGCTCTCTGAGATGCAATGTCCACATTTCACTCCTGATATTTATGACAAAAACACCATCCAAAGCCTTCAAAACTAAAACAAGAGAAAATTTCTTGGAACTTCCAAATTCGAAGTGTGGTCAAATTCCTACTTAAACACATCTAAATCTATGAACACTATTTGTAAAGTGCACTTGTAAATGCTTAATAGTAAATTATTATTTTGATTTCAAAAACAGCAATTATATTTTGATGTTGTAGATTAATGAGTCCTGCAGTTTTCTACATGTTCAAAATAAGGGTCTATTTCCATAAAAATAAAATGAAAAAAAACTATATATGGTACTTTGCACAGAAGAAATACTTTAATTGCCTGGTCCCCCTGCCCACTAATAATCCACTTATGATTTGTTTTTAATAAAGCCAAATCATTTTTAAAAGGGTCAAGTTAATTTTATTGTATTGAAATGGCTGAATTTTCACCTTTAAAATAATCTACAGATTTAATCAAGATTGTATGAAATTACTGCCAGGTGTTAGCTATGCCTACTAAACCAATGATTTCCTCCCTTCACATCCCAATCTTTATCCATATCGTCATACACATATTTTCAAATTAAATCTTGTCCCTGAAGTTTATCTTGAGTATTCAAGTACAGCATTGATGTGTATATTTTTTGGAGAAAGTCTGACTTATTATCATAATAGCATTCACGTCCATTTGTTGCAATAGCGCACTTAATCCTTAAAAGAACTGACCCAGTAATTTACATTTTATATTTAAGTGTCCACTTAAAAGAGTGTATATCTACATATAAAATTCTAAATACACTTCTTGCTGAATCACAAAATTAAACATAGCAACTTTGACCCTTTAGGTTCTACAAAGAATTTCAGGAGGATTTAGATCAGGAGGGAGATAATTCATACCACAGGGGAACAATAAGTATTGCCTGCCAGTTTTAATAATTGCTACAGCCTATGGTTTATGTTTGTCTAAATTAATATATTTATTCAAAAACCTATGAGCTCCAAGTATCTTTTGGTCCTAAGTATTGAAAAATAATTTGATGAAGCAATTTAGGGTTCTCATTCCAAAAAGCAAATGTAAGAAGGACTCTACTGCACATGTATATAACATTTAGAAATAAATTAATTACATGTGATTCACTCACTGACATATTAACTATTTTGGATGATTCTTTTTTATGCTATGTAGATTCTAATATACAGGGATGGGTAAAAGTAGGTTGATATATAATAATAATAAAAAAAATAATACAATCATTAATTAATAAATAATAATACAAGAATAAACTGTTACACGAACTCACAACTGTAAATCTACTTTTGCCTATCCCTTTATAGAAAATGCCATAAATCTGATCACAATGGCTGATTTTGGTTTCCCCAAATTGCTCCGAAGCATTTTCTAAATTTCCATGTAGAATAGAATAGTCCCTCCCTCTACTGGTTAGGCAACCCACAGGTTGAGAACCGCTAGCAGGGTCACCTAAGACCATCGGAAAACACAGATATTCACATTACGATTCATAACAGTAGCAAAATTACAGTTATGAATAGAAACAAAAAAAAGTTTATGGTTGGGGGTCACCACAACATGAGGAACTGTATTAAACGGTCACAACATTAAAAAGGTTGAGAATCACTGCTTTATAGAAAGTTTGCTGATCCCTGATCTATATGCTAAGGTATGATTGCATTTATTCTATTTTTATTAATAGTTTTATATTTTAACAATTTTATGAGCGACAAAAATTTGAAAGGAAAATTTAGATACCAATATAAATCTGCAGATGAAATTAGGATTAAGGTGATAAAACATTTTAAATTAAAATAATAGTGTAATATATTGAAACAGCAGCAATGTAATATGGTAGGTTAAGGTAATACTATCAACTAATTCATATTAGTATAAAATATATAACTAAATTTATCTTTTTGAAAATCTCAAACTTAATGGAAAGTTCTTGAAAACACCCTAAATTAGCTTTTTTCTTTTTTATTATAATAAATTTTATGCAATGATCCAATACCAACAATAAAACCCAGGATTAAAAATAAAATAATTTACTGTCAATAGGAGAGATTACGCACCAAATGCCTAGTTTGTATTATAAACAGCCAACATAAAAAGTCATTAAACCTCATCAAAAATTTCATATCAATATGCCACCAAGACTATGTCATTAATAATCAAAGTATAATCTCACTAAAGATTTGCCTTCTGTGGTCAATGTACATATTGTAAATTCAGAAGAATTTATTATCTGACCAAACATTGGAGGATATGTTAACATAATGCATGTTTTATTTTCCTTAAGAATTTGTTGCCAGCTCAGGTGGCATGGCTCAGCGGTTTAGCATCGACTTATAAACCAGAAGGTCTCGGTTCAATACCCAGTTAGAGCACATGCTCAGGTTGTGGGCTTGGCAGCCGATCAATGATTCTCTCTCATCACTGACGTTTCTATCTTTCTCCCTCTCCCTCTTCCTCTCCCTTCCTCTTTGATGTCAATAAAAATATATTTATAAAAAGAATTTGCTGGCCAATTATTATTAAATTATTAATGAAAGAAGGAAATATATTTTGACATTTATTATCAAGCAACTTATACATTTGCCAGGGAAGTGCTATTAACCTTCTTTTATAGAAAAGAATTAAAGCTCAGGAAGGTTCAGTAACTTGTCCAAAGTGACACAGCTCATAAGTGTAGTGACAAGATTCAAATCACATCCTTCTGACACATAAGACCTTGTTCTTCCCAAATGGCCACATGACACTTAATATTAATAATACGAACCAGAAAACTTGAAGTGTAACACTCAGAAAAATGTTTCCAGTTAAGATTATAAGATTAGCCATGAATTACTAAATATTATTTATATATTTATTATTTAATATATTTACTATTATAAAAGTTGCCTGTGTTATATTAATACTATTTTAGAATAGAACATCAGCCAATGAGCTAGAAGTATTTTAAATCTTAAATGTTTTAAAAGTGATCAAATTTGCCGAAACTGGTTTGGCTCAGTGGATAGAGCAGCAACCTGCGACTGAAAAGTCCCAGGTTCGATTCTGGTCAAGGGCATGTACCTTGGTTGTGGGCACATCCCCAGTAGGGGTGTGCAAGAGGCAGCTAATCCATGAATCTCTCTCATTGATGTTTCTAACTCTCTATCCCTCTCTCTTCCTCTCTGAATAATCAATAAAATATATTTAAATAAAATAAAATAAAATAAAAATGATCAAATTTGGAATATTTTGTGACATGAAATTAATATAAAGTTTAATTTCAGAGTCCATAAATAAAGTTTTATTGGAACCTAGTCATACTAATTCATCTATATACTGTCTATGGTTGTTTTGGGAATATGATGGCATTACTGAGTAGTGGAGACAGAGGCAATATGACCTGCAAAGCCTAAAATATTTACTATCTTGCTCTTTATGAATAAAGACCTATGAAGAGAAACTAATTCAGGCAATATAAGTTTAACTATGAAAAGTATATTTTAAGTGTGAAATTGAAAAAAATTGAAATGAAAATTATAAATATAAAAGTAATGGGCATGATGGAGTATTCCTCATTCACTGGTCATATAATCTAATATAATCAAGATTTGGCAAGGTCCAAAAAGGTGTGCCTAGTCTAATTGCTTACTCGTAATGCACATCTGTGATAGGTAGTGAATTCTGTTTAATCTTGAGTTGGGTGATTCTATCATAGTGCTGTGGTATTATATTTATTTTTAAATTTTGATAGTATGTTAACTTTTGATTTAGAAAAAAGGTTTGCTTATACTTTAATACATATAACCTATATGAATGTAGTAAATGTCTATAGTTCAAAATATTTTCAGACAATATTAATTTACAATTTTAAATATATAGCTTTAATCACTGATGTTTTTTTAAATGATGGGATTTTAACTGTTAATGTTACTTTAATTGGAATATTTAATAAAGCCTCTAAAATAGTAAATACCTCTGCCATGCTGAAAAGTCAAAATAAATTAGAAGAAAAATATATAGGTTAAAAAGATAAATGAGTTTGTATGTACACACAATCTGTTTCAAATTCTCTGATTGACATGGATGTGATGCTCCATTAGCCACTTAATAAATTGATGTGTAGTTAGAAGAACAATAGATGCAACATTTTTTGTAAAATTATGAAAAAAATAGAATACTGCTGATAATAAGAACTTGAGATGAGAATAGTAGTTGATATGAAAAATATAGCCAATAGTTATCAATAAACAACTAAAAGGCATGATCATTTCTTCTTTTCCTTTACAAGTATTGGACACAGAAAGAAAAAGGTGCAAACACAGAAATAGCAACACAAAGCAAACCAGAGGGGCAAGTCCACACACCCAAACACATGCCGTGTACCATCATCTCTCATACTTGTTGCAGAAGAGGGGGTGTTGCAACTCAGCAACCAGTCTGCAGTGTTTAAAACAGTCATGTTGTCCCCTGAGAACAGGAACAGTATAAGGGTTCATTGTCTGAGTGCCTGCTCAGTGTACACGAATAGTTTTCAATCTTGCACTGGTTTCTGACCTTTTCGCCAAAAATTATAACTGCATGGTATGACTTTTACATTTTAGTTGGTCAGGTCTGTTTTAGTTCCGTTAAATCTATACACATGATGATTAGTGAATTCCAAGGTCTGCTTCCAGAATGCATGGTTTTTTAAAAATATTATTATTTGGACCATGCTAAGGTTTAAATATTAATGTTTTTACTCCAGAAGTCATCACTAAACAGTTTTATACATTTGCAATCCTATAATTAATTAGCCAAAACTATAGATGCATGTTTAGGGACAGGTAAACATTATAAACAAGAAAAATGTTAATTTACAAAGGGTTTGGTATAAAACATTATTAAATACAGGCAAATTGCAATGCACACAACTTTACAAAGGAAATTTGAGGTTGCATAGTTCTAAAATAAGTGAAAAGAGGTGTATCAACTTCATAAATATTTATTGAAAATTTTAAAGAAAATATGATGTGGCAAATGCTGATATCTAGTAATTTGAAGTTTATAAGTTAAAACAAATTTCATGTAATTTCTCACTTACTGAATAAAATAACTAGATCTATAAAACTTGAAAATAATTGAATAATTTAAAATGCAACTTATGTGTATATCGATGTAGTCTATATATTGTGATGCAAAAATAAGATTATATTTTCTGGCAAATTAATGCATTTTATAAAAACAATAAGGCAGAATATTTGAAATAACTGTTATTGTTGTCATATGCTGTGTGTTAATTATGGGTTAATCAAATGAGGAGATATCTAGAAAAGTATTAAATTCCTATTTTTAAATACATGCTAGGTATTATTCTCTTAGTAAAGAAAATTGCAGCAGATACACCTTTTCTGTTTCCAAATTTACTTTTAAGGAAAACTACATTTTAAGAAAAAATTTTTGGTAGACTTTCTCTTTCTTATAATTCAAAGTAAAATTATAAAATACTATAATTTTTTTATTCTTTGTCTTCTTTTTTTGTAAGAACCTTTTGGCCACCTTTTCCACCTTTTAGAAAAATATCCACAAGGGAAAATGCAAAAAAAGAAGCTTCACTAAAGGCCTTCAATGTTGCCCAAGGCTGTCTTGAATGTTTCCAGTTTTAGAAGAGGAACAAAAATTTCAAGAAAATGAACAGAATAATAAATAATCCATTAACTATATATTCCTTTCATATAATGTTGATTGTGTTATTGCCAGTGAGATATTTACTTATTAGTAGACCCTAACATGAAATTGTGGCAAACATTAAAATGTGAAAATGTGCTTCTGGGTGTCTTTAAGGTTGCACACTTACCTCCTGTCCCATTTGTGGTGACTGATGTGCTGCTGAGATTCGCTTTCTCCAGTTTGGAGCTACCAGGGGCATCACCACCTCCAACAAGAGGATGAGGACTCGCTAGGTCCTGCATTTCCATAGACCTATCAGAGCAGGAAGCAAGAGAGCAAAAGTTGAAATCTCAACAATTACTAACTTTAAAAAAATATGTTTCTATTGATTTCAGAGAAGAAGGACGAGGGAGGTGGAGAGAAATATCAATGATGGGAGCTAATCATAGATCAGCTGATTTCTCAGCAGAAAATTTACAGGCCTGAGGGAGTGGCAGGATAAATTTCAAGTGCTAAAAAAAGAAACCTACAAACCTAGACTACTCTATCCATACAAGTGAACACTAAAGGATTTCATCACTATTAAACTGAAATACAAGAAATATTTCTATTACAAGAAATATTGAAGTTTCTTCTTCAGGCAGAAAATAAACAGCCATAAGCAGAAATAAAATATGTGAAAGAAAAAAAAATCACTAGAAAAAGTGCTTAGAAAAAGCAAACATATAATAAACAATGAATCAGACACTTCAAAAGCTTATATGGTCTGGCTGGTGTTGTTCAAAGGTTGAGAACTGACCCATAAACTAGGAGGTCACTAGTTTGATTTCCAGTCAAGGCACATATCTCTGGGTTGTGGGCTCAAACCCTAGAAAGGGGAGTGCAGAAGGCAGGTGATTAATGATATTTCTCTCTCACTGATGTTTCTATCTCTCTATTCCTCTCACTTCCTCTCTCTCTAAAAATCAATAAAAACAATTAAAAAAAACTTAATATGAACTTTAAAAGAAAAAAATAGCAAAACCAACTATAACTACAATAAATAGTTAGAGAATTTACAAAAACAAAAATTTTAAAACATGGTGAGCCAAACTGAAGCACTTTAGAATATGTTTGAACTTAAAATGTCTATCTGCTTAAAATATACAGCAAAATATATAGATCAATATATATGAACCTCATAGTAACTATAAATCAAAACCTACAGAAGATACACAAAAATTAAAGAGAAAGAAATACAAAGAAAACAACTATATAAATAATAAACCATACCTATTTGTAGTTTAAAAACTAATGGACTAAAATGCTCTGATCAAAAAGCATATGATAAATTAATGGATAAAAACAAAACAAACAAACAAACAAAAAATAAGCAAGACCCACCCATCTACTGCATACACAAGACTCACTTCAGATCAAATGAAAGACACATACTGAAAATGAAGATATGGAAAATATATTCCACATAAATACAAATGAAAAGAAAGCTGGAATAGCAATATTCATATCAGACAAGTTGGACATTAAAACAAAGACATAAAAAGAGACAAAAAGAAGACTATTACATATAATCAAAGGGTCAAAAGATATAATATTCATAAATATCTATGCACCCAATATAGGAGGACTAAATATACAAGGCATATATTAACAGACATAAAGAGAGAAATTGAAATTTTTACAATAACAGTAGGAGACTTTAACACCCACATTATATATAATGAAAGGACAGGTACCATAAGCATAATTACTGGAACAACCACTTGACCAGTCTCCATGAGGTGCATTGACCACCTCTTGGTCCCCTCCCCCTCGCCCCCATGAGTAGAGGGTCATGGTGGCGGGCAGGGTGCTCATGGCTCATGGTGGCAGGTGGTGGACAGGGTGGTGAGTGGTGGCAAGCAGAGGTGAGCTGTGTGTGCATGATTTCATGCACTGGGCTTCTAGTACAATAAGAAATAGAAAATCCAGGCAAAAATTCAATATGAAAACAATTACCTTAAACATCATATGAGAAGATGCTCAACATTATTAATCATCAGGAAAATGCAAATCAAAAGTACAGTGAGATATGTCAGAAGGCTATTATCAAAAGTCAACAAATAAGTGTAAGAATGTGGAGTAAAGGGAACTCTAGTGCACAGTTGGTGTGATCGTAAAATTGTTGCAGCCACTCTGGAAGGCAGTAGAAAGGTTCATCAAGCAATTAAAAATAGGATTACTGTACAATTCAGAAATGCCAATTTTGACTTTTTACCAGGAGGAAACAAAATGCTAATTCGGCCCTAGCCAATTTGGCTCAATGGACAGAGTGTTGGCCTGTGGACCAAAGGGTCCCCAGTTGGATTCTGGTCAAGGGCATGTAGTGGGTTGCAGGCTGTTCCCTGGCCTGGGCCTTGGTTCAGGCTCATACAGGAGGCAGCCAATTGATGTGTTTCTTTCACATCTATGTTTTTCTGTCTTTCCCTTTCTCTTCTACTCTCTCTAAAAATCAGTGGAAAAAATATCCTTGGATGAAGATTAAAACAAACAAACAAACAAACAAACAAACCAATTCAAATATATAAAAGCACCCCTAGTTCACTGCAGCATCACTTATAATAGGCAAGAAATGAAAGCCACCTAGATGTCCAACCATAGATTAATTGATAAAGAAGTGGTGCCTATATACAATGGAATATGACTTAGCCATAAAAATGTATGACATTTTATCATCTGCAACAACAATATAGATGGGCCTAGAGGATATGGTCCAGAGTGAAATAAGTCAGACAGAAAAAGACAAATACCATATAATTTCACTTATACATGTAATCTAAAAAAAGAAAACAAAACATAAACAATCTTAGTGATGCAAAAAATGAACTGATCGCTGCTAAAGGAATGCAAGATTGGGGAAGAGGAGTGAAAAATGTAAAGGGTTGAATAACAGAGACAAAATTCTAGTTATAAAATACATAAACCACAGGGGTGTAGTATACAACAGAGAGAATATAGTGTCAATAATACAACAGTAACTTTGATCAATAAACTTATTATGGTATTCACATCATAAGGTATATAAATGTCAAAGCACTATATTGTACACCTGAAACTAATACAGTATTGTATGCTTTAATTTAAAAAAATTAAAAAATTAAAAAATTCTTTTAAACAAATCTCCTGAGAGGTGTGTGCTTTATTGAGTAACTATATGGGTTGGAAATCACGAACATAAATATAAGTCTATGATCTACTACCTAGAAAAAGTTATTGGGCTTGTGTGTAGATGGTTTTCCAAATATCTTCTCAGTTTATAGGGCTCACTCAATAACACCGAGTGTCTCCCATAGACAGGCATTCTTTACTCCCTTCCCTTTTATGCCAAGACATTCTGTATCTTTATGAGGTTACTCAACCCATTCACTTTGAGCGCAAGGAAGTTAGCACCTGCCACGAGGGATCAGAATGTGAAATGTGATGAGAGAGCCCTGTGATAAGAGCCTGACCTTAGCAAACAAAAATAAACCCTCCAAGAAAAAAAGATGAAGAAAAATGCCATAATATACAACATACAGTATTGTGTGGCTCTTGACACAAGCAATGAAAGTCCTGCTCCACAGGAAGCTGTGGCCGAGGCTGTGTGCGATTCACGAGCAGCGATGCCAGAAGACGTCAGGGAACTCCCCCGTTGCCCCAACCGTATGACACTATAACATGATAGTCCCCATTTAAAAAAAGTCAACCAGCCATCTTAGTGATAGGAACCTGGGCCCCACTTCTCATCTGGCATAATACTTCATGGAGCAGGTCCAAACAATGCAGGGCCCTTGAAATCAGCAGGAGCTCAGCACTCTGGTCCCTGCCAAAGTGCAACATGAGAATTGGGGCTGGTATAAATATTCATTGGGAAGTTACGGCCAACCTCCTCGCGCTGTGTGCTTAGTGCAACTCAAAACTGCTCCACCTGGTCCCTTCTGGCTCCCTCATGTCTACCAGGGGCTGGCAGCTGGAAGGCAGGCTGAGCCTTACGTCTTTCAATGTGCTGTCGCACCAGAGGGACAGGCAGGAGGGATGACAATGCATATGCTCAGATTCAATTACAGGACTGTCTTTTTCCCAGGTGGGAGGCAACACTGACTGTAGAGAATTCAATGCTTCCCTCTGTGCAGGTCCCTTAGGAGATGGTTGGTGGTTTGCAAATGCTGGCTGGGGGTGTGGAATAAAGCACTATGGTCGGCCCACATCACAAAACTCTTGGCGAAAAGTATCAAGCAAATTGAATAATTGTTAGGTCTACATGCAATCTTTAGTTTTCTCTTGTTTTCCCAAGTAAAATCATTCTGTAATTTCTGCCTGCAAAATACGAACAGCTGCCCATAAGTTCTGAAATAAGGGGCCATGTAGCCTATATGATATAGGATGGAAGTTTTGAGATCTCTGTCAGAGGAATCTCATTAATTTACATGTGACAAAAATTAGAAGTGTCTCAACCATTACCATTTAAGGGGAACACACAGGTTCTGAATTTAAAGCCTTGAACAGTTCCTAAAAGCTTGACAAAAATACATACAGATTAATCTTTTCTTTATAATAAAATGGTCTACTGTAATTAATTTTAAAGACACTAATCACAATCTGTTATAATTTGTTGGTGCTGAAGGGGGATGGTGGGCTTTATATTCTGCCTGCTACAAAGCAGGAGTCACTCAATACAAAAGTGAGGCTGCATGCAGAATAGTCAACTAGCATTAACTGGATTACCTCTCTACAAATAGTTACCATGCTAGAAATTACAAAAATGTTCTATTTTTAGTCCCCAAATAAATGATTTGATGCCTCAGTGGACTATAACATTGAAGATGTCTCATAAGTACAAACAACTAAAATATAAGTAAGATTATTCTCTGTTTTCAAATATTTCTGAAATCTTCCTTCTCTGTGGGATATATATATATATATATATATATATATATATATATATACTATATTTCCCCCTTTAAGTGATGATGAGCTCCCAAAGAAGATTGACATGTTGATTAAGTTTATAGAACTAGTCACCAGAAGAGCTTTCATCAGAACTTGATTAGGAGACACTTAGACTTTAAAACATCAAATTGCTGTTTGTAAAACAACCCTTCTCACTACTTTTCCCTCCTAGCTGCTATATTATCATTATTATTTCTTTCAAAACCCAGATTCTTTAAACTTGTGTTAAAGCTTCATATCCTCTTTCTTACCTCACAGAAACCCTATCTCCACTTCAATCAGTATCCATGAAGTCTATCTGGAGTCACCTTCTAATTACTAATTTAATTGGCTTCTTTTGTTTT